CTGGCTGCTCATCTTCAGAATCAATCTACAATAAACAACTAAACATTGTCAGAAACTACGCCATCGTAATCATAATTCCAAAATACTACAAGCTCAAGTTTTTACTAACCTCGCTTTCCTCAGCTTCGGATTCCAAAAAATCAGCCATAATAACTTAGTTTTAACTAAAACCAATAACACTTTACACTTAAATAATTGATTAACTAATTAAACGGGGATACAAATGTAATTTCAACAATCTAGTAAAACTAAAATTTTCGCTTGAAAATATGACACGAATGAAAAGACAGAGAACTGAGAATGAACTACTGTCTACCGTGACCGTCTGTCTACTAGTGATGCTACCAGTGGCACAGATAAGAATATACTGACCACAGAAAATGTAACTACGTCAACTACGTGGGACCGTGGCACCGTAGCACCGGTAAACCGAGTCGCTGAATGAAAGAGACAAAAAACTACGTCACTTATCGAATTTTCTTTGTCTTTAGAATAAGTCCTTTGAAGTTTCGTATGAAAGGTTTAATTCTTTACCTAAGTTAAAATCCTTTTGTTGTTGTCGTCCTGTAGGTACAATCCTATCACTACGTATATCTTAATGTTAAAGAAAACTGAAACAAGCCTTTTTAACTTTCAAATACTTTTTAATAGGTACTGTAAATCGCATAATATTGTTTTCTATTTTTACCCTTTATTTACCTTTAACTACCTTCAAAAGATGGTAATTAGTTAAAGAAAAGTTGGCAGCACAAACGATATTAGATAAAAATTTATTACATTTGTGTTTTTTATGGTTTTTTTTTCAATGATAATTGATAATGGCTTTCCATTATGGGCCAGTGAGTAGGAAGTTAATATTTTTTTTAAAGAATTTTCTTCCAAATAGAAGCCCTATAACAAATTTGCAAGTGGTGGAGAGTCACAGTTTATAATTTTTTGAAAGTTCCGTTTACTTACATCGAAAAATAACACGCGTTAAACAACATACGTACGTAGTATAACTATCACTGTGAGTGATAAAAACTCAAACTTCGTCAACTAAATTGGGCATTTCATTTTAAGGCTTTTATGAAAAAGTATTTATAATTTGTACATATATGTACTAGTCTCAAAAGTTATTACTTTTTTTAGAAATACCCAAAAATACAATAATGCTTTTTCTAACTATTGATTGAATATTTAATAAATGATTTTTGATATGAATTCCTGTTGATTGTTTATTTGACTTTAAGTATCTAATAGGCTTCCTTTTAGTTGATCTGTAGATATTCAATAGTTTTGAGACTAGGTCTCATTGCAGGCCATGGCAAAACTCTAATACCTTTGGTGCCAGGAGTTTTTTTTTGTCACACTGTTTATGGACGAGCAACCAACACCTACTTTTTATGAATATGGAATGCCATGAGATTGGGTTACTCGCTCGATGTAACTTCCTGCTGGTGCAGAACCCTTATTCAGAATTATCAGCTCTCATTAGCTTGCTAAGCGAATTCGGTTTAAAACACTGGGTGTTATAAAAAAAGCCATGAAAAAATACCACGAAAAAATACCATTAACAAACAAAACGTCTAACCTACCCTTAACATTCGTATCTAAACCTAAACTCATCAAATCAAAATAATTTCGTATATTTGTCACAAGAAATATACACAAGAGGTAATTATTACTGAATAACTTTATGCATTTGATGAATATAATTTCTATTATGGGCCAGTGAGTTGGAATTGAAAGTTCATATTTTTTTAAAGATAGTACTCATATAAGGAATGTTTTTTACAGACTTAGAACTTGCGGAGACTCGCAGTTCACAGAATATAATTTCTTGTCTAGGTTTCACCGTGTGCCTCGTTTAAGATATCATCACAAATATTTAAAGTGAGCCATATACTGGAGCACTCCTCTCTTCATATGGAACAATCAATATGAATGTTTTATGCACCCATGGAACCAACCGTTTCTCTAGTTCAAAGATTATTTATGTTAGAATAATAATATTCACTTTTTTAGTATTATCTGGATAGCTGTTAAATTATTTGCTTTTGTCACCTTGCTTGCAAGTCAGTTGCTTTACCTACAAAGAAAATGCAGGCTGGGTGAAATATAAAATGTTATCGATCTACATATTTCGTTTCGTTTCTTTACGTTACATCGGCATAAGTTGCTCTTATTCTAGTGGGAGTGAGACTAAAATATTACTTAGTCTGTAGGCTTTTCTTTCTAAGAGTGGGACGACTGATGAAATAATGAAACTACAGCTTGGCAAAAAAGACTTGATGACAGCTGGAAGAATGTTAATTTAGACTGGATCACCCATTTCAGATCATAAGTATCCCATGAATAAACAATCATCCAAACATACTCTTTTAAACTCTATAAAAATAACAAATATCAAAACCGGTTCAGTCGTAGTGTACCAGGTTGCCACAGGTACGATACTAGGGACCTCAATTATTACAAACTTTTTACCAAGCTGTAAATAAAAGCTTGTAAAAAGCGATGACGTTCTATATCTTATTGCTGTGTTACGGTTTTTTGTTGTGGTTTGTGGCTAACTGCGCTTTGGTTTTGTGAAACCGTACCTTAATTTTATTTGGTAATGTTGTCAGTTCTGGTTAGGGGTGGACGATATACATCGATGTTTTAAAAACACTCGATGTATTGTATCGATGCATCGTATTGAACCGATGTATTGTTAATACTTCAACATCGAATACATATCGATGTTTTTCATTCGATACATCGAATACGCAAATAGGGATCCACACTGCGAATTTATCCCGTCAGATGGCGCATCGTCGATGTTTTGACTGACAACTGTCAATTCCTTACATAATCTGTTTCTCAATCAGAATTATTAGGTTTTTCTAATATGCCACTGTGTTAAGTACCAGGCTGATTTAATCGTGGTAATCATCTTTTTTCCAAAATCATTGAAAAAAATTTCTCACTTTCTGTGAGAAAGATGTACAAAAATTATAACCTTTATATTTAGAGATTACATAAACATAACATCACGCCTTTTATCCCCGAAGGGGTAGGTAGAGGTGCACATTATGCCACTGTACAATGTAACACCCACTTTTTACTATTTATGTTATGAGTCCCATGTAATAGGGGGTGAGCCTATTGCCATATACCGGGCACATTTCCAGATTCCGTGCTACTACTGAGATTTTTAAAAACCCAGTAATACTTTACCCGACCCGGGAATCGAACCCGAGACTCCTTGCCCGGCAGTCGCACTTGGGACCACTCGGCTATCGAGGCAATTTAGAGATTATAAAATACAATTCCCGAAGCTGTATAAAATAGCTTTTAAGTATTTGACAATAGTTGACACGTCAGTCCCTTCTGAAAGACTTTTTTCACAGGCAGGGCAGGTTATGACGGAACAAAGAAACCGGTTAAAAGGAAAGGGATTAAACAAACTGTTGTTTCTACATAGCATTGAAAAAAAAGAAAAAAAAAGAGAAAAATGTGTTGGCTCTGTGATTTTAAATTTTCATTTTTTTTGTTTTAATTAATGCCTAACCTAAAACAATCGATGTTTAAGAAACATCGATGTATTTCTCAATACATCGGATTACCATCGATGTAACCAAACGATGCATTACATCGAAAAAAACATCGATGTATTTTTTTAATGTCCATCCCTAGTTCTGGTAATTTTTTGTGTTGCCAAGTAAAGAGTCAATCAATGAAAAGTACACTGTATTATTTATTAATATATGATTGTAATCTTGTTCACATATTCTTTTCTCACCAGTTATTAATGCAGTAAAATAACAAATGGCAATGTATACGAATATAGCACGAAGAAATGATATGATGGCCAATACCATCTTTTACCATTCAACAATCTTAATAAATTCATAGAACATTTACAAAAAACGCATGCATCAATTCAATTTCATTATCATTTGAGAAGTAAATTAAGTCGGATTACATTTTACACAAAATCATGTACCTAATTTTGATTTTAACAGTTTAGCGAAAGACGTCGAGTTACAAAAAATATACTTTTTTTTTTTTTTTTTTTTTAAGGGGGGAAAATCATCGAATGACTGCTCCCGCCTGGGTGAGGCGGAAGGAAGTGTCAGACTCTTACTGACTAAAAACCACCCCGTTCCTTCTCCTGCACGTCGAGCCGGAGCCCCGGTTACCCGTTAGGTTCTCCGCGACTCCGAATCGGCATCGGCCCTATTGGGCCCCATCTGTGGTGGTCTGATGGCCCTTTGAGGCGCGCGCGGAACGCGACGCGCCGTACGCTCGGGTCTGTTTCTGGTCGGACGGGGAGCCACCCATGCTCGCCGTCCGCAGGCCCGCGCTTACGGTGGCCGGAGATCGTCCCGCGATCCCCGACGCCCGGTGTGTCCTTCGCGATGGCTGGGTTGCGAGGAGGCAGCGCTTCGCTGCCTCACGCGTCCCGCCTCCTCCTTAGCTAGCATGACTGCTTCGCAAAAGGAGGAGACGGCATCCCAGTCCCCCTCGCTCCGCATCATGGCCTGCACTAGGCCCGGACGCGAGAGGTCGCCATCGCCGATCACTTCCCTGAGGGCACGGCGGTGCTCAGCCCACGCAGGGCATTCCGCTACGGTGTGTTCCACCGTGTCCTCAGGGCGGTCCTCGCAGTGATGACACCCGGGCGTTTCCTCCCGCCCCATCAGACACAGGTACCTCCCGAAACTTCCATGTCCGGTGAGGACCTGCGTCAGGCGGTAGGTGAGGACGCCGTAGCGTCTCTCAAGCCACTCCTCAAAGAGGGGACTTACCGCTGCAATGGCAGCGAGCCCAACAAAAAAAAAATATACTAACTATTGAATTGTACTATAATGATACAAACTAGAGCAACATTAAGTCACTGCCAAAGATTGACAAATGACAATGTCATTTTGTCAGAAACAAAAATTCTAATTCGAAAATCGCGTATGGTATGGTTGTGGTGTGAAAGTAAATAAATATTTCTATATTTTAATATAATTTTATCAGTGCCATATAAAATGACTCAACCAGCTCCTATTGTAAAAAGCCTTATTTACGCTGGGCAGAAATATATTCCTATTGCTAACGGCAGTAAGGTAATGATAATGAATATTCTTCTAATCATAGCTTCCTTAAAGGTAAACAATGTATTTTATTGCTTACTTTATTATTGCAGGTACATTTCCACTTCCAAACATGGAAACTAGGAAAGGAAAGGGTTTTGCTTGATGACAGCAAGAAGATTGGAAAGAAAGAACCCATGGTATTAGTGATAGGACATAAGTTTAAGTTGGAAGTTTGGGAAACTATAGTCAAAATGATGGCTGTCGGAGAAGTTTCCAGTTTTAAAGTACAAAAAGAGGTAATTATAAAATTCATCTTTCAAGTACATGAGCTAATGTCATGTTACTATGTATCATAAAATACTTTTTTAGGTAACCCTAGGTTATTGATGAGCAAGTCTCTATCTTTAATCCAATAACTTTAATTGGTACTTACTTAAACCTTACAGCCAAGTTGGTAGACTCAGAAAATTTGGCTGATTTCATAGCTTTTAAAAATTGATTTCTTTTACTTTTTGTTCCTCTCTTGCAGAATTTTAATTTACCTAAGTAGCCAGACATTATTTGATTAGTAGGACACTATATACCATATACATATTATTACCACAAGAAAAAAAGTAACAGTTTAAAATGTTGTTATCTACATTCAAATAAGAACTACCTATAATATTTTATAAATGATATTCATTAACTCGTCGAGTACCGGTTTTATAGACACAATTAAATAACAATAGGTCGCGGTCACCGGTGACCGCTTGGTGTTTGACAGATTAAAATACAATCAAAGTTTCTAACTAGAAATATTTATCCACAGCTAGTCTTCAGTTACCCCTTCATATCAAAAACTCTACGGGAGTTAGGACAGGAACAACATAAAATAAAGCATTCATGTACCATGACCCTACACACGGAAGGCCTAGGCCATCCAGACTTAGATGACCTTATGAAGAACCCATGTGACCTGGAATTTATCATTGGTGAGTAATTTTCCTGTAAACAAGTCTAACCCATAGATCCCCAAGCGGTCACCGGTGACCGCTCTCCACTAATATTACATTACATTATAGACCTTATTTCCAATGTTTAGAGACTACTTTTGTATGACCAAATTTAGGGGATGGATTTCAACGGGCTAAGATAATATTTCCACCTAAAATTCTGTTTTATCCAGTTTCTACAGGAATTATGTTTCTTGTATTTTAACAGGATAGCAAATACTGAGTTTTGTTTTTTTTTTAATTTTATTTAATTGCAATATACCTTGTGTCAAATGGCACTCACATGAATTAAGTTGTTTATGCCTGAGCAATGTTCTGAAACAAATAGTCCTTACTATTATAAATGGGAAAGTGAGTTTGTTTGTTTGTTTGTTCCGCTTTCACACTGTTACTTCTAAACCAATTGCTTTGAATTTTTGCAGACGTAAAATTAGAATTTATATTACATAATAGGGTACTTTTTATCCCGGAAAATTTCTACGTTCCGGCGACGGGTTAATAAGCTCTTTATCATAAAAACTACTGAACATAATAAGATGAAATGTAGCAAAAATATGGATGGATCATGGGTGAACCACATGTATAGCACTACAGTAATTAATTAAAAGTGCCCAAAATGTAATACTCATCAATATAACAGGACCACTCAACTGTTATCTTATCACATTTATATCAATATATTGTCTGATATTGATTTTGTTATGAGTTACTGAGGTTTATTGTTACTCTATGATCTTATTTCAGTAAGATTCTTCTGAGGTCATACTTTTCTATTTTAATAAGTAATATTTGTATAAGACTGCTTTTTATATGACTGCCTCGTTGGCCAAGTGGTCGCAATTGCGACTGCCGGGCGGGGAGCCTCAGGTTCAATTTCGGGCCGGGCAAAGTATTACAGGGATCCTTTAATAAATAAATCTCAGTAGTAGCACGGGAATGAATGTAGTCTGAAAATGTGCCAGGTATATGGCAATGGGCTCACTCCCTATTACATGGGACTCATATCATAAAATGGTGAAGGGTGGGTGTTCATTGTACAGTGGCATTAAGTGCCGTAATAGGCACCTCTGCCTACCCCTTCGGGGATAAAAGGCGTGAAGTTATGTATGTATTTGTATAAGCTGGACATTACAGTAAGGGAAATCGGCAAGTTAGATCTGTGTGTCGGGATTTCTATTAATCCAATAGCAATAACGAGAAGTAATTATCTTATTAGATACTGAATTTTAACTGCTGAATCTCGGGTTCGATTCCATTGTTCGATAACACAAGGAATATTGCAGTTTTTTCAGTAATGTCGCATTTAATCCTTATTTCTTATCTTCCAAAGCCCTCTGAAATGAAAGTTACTATGACAAGTAAGAACATAGCAAAATCTGAACTGTGTTATACTGTATACTGTAGTATCTATATTCTATGTCTTTCTAGAAATACTAAAAGTGGAGAGGTCAGATGAGTATGAGAAAGAGTTGTGGCAGTTGAATGCTAAGGAGCGAACAGACCTCATACCCATGCTCAGAGAGAAAGGCAACAAACTATATGTAGAGAAGAAATACAAAGAGGCTGAGGATGCATACAGTGAAGCTTTGTATATCTGTGAACAACTTATGGTCAGGTAATTAAAATAAAACTTTACAATATATTAATTGGGTCTCTGATAGACGCCGGTTTCCTGTGAGGCCGTGGTATCACTCCGGTCGAGCCGGCACATCCGTGTCGAAGCATGGCTCTCGCACACTTTACATGAAGTAAATTGATTGCTTTACTTTCTGAAGTTTCATTACCACAAGTGTAAAACTGAAGCAATGTTAATATTTCTACTTATTTTTACTTTTCATTCCTAATATCTTATTTTACAGGGAAAGGAAAGGTGATGAAGAATGGGCGGAGCTGAACAAAGTAAAGCTGCCGATACTACTGAACTACGCGCAGTGTAAACTGATCAACGGAGAGTACTACGCTGTCATAGAACACTGTAATACTGTTCTAGAATATGATAAAGGTATTGTATGGTTTACTTCTTTTAATATATTCTTAATAGTTCCTCAATTTCTGCCGGAAGGCTTCTACCGCTGAAAAAGAGCCGTCCTCTTAAATGGGACTTTGCCACGATCCCCACGCTTGAGCACGTGACGTGACATATAGTCGACAGTTAGGTCCTAAAAATGTAGAGGATACTGTTACCTGTTCTTTGGTTACCGATCACAGTTCGAAGACTACCAACCAACGAAGCAGCTCCAACTCAGTCCGTCCATACAAAACTTATGTAGGTAAACTTATACTTTTTTCCAGATAACGAAAAAGCGCTCTACAGAAGAGGTAAGGCTCACATAGGCGCGTGGAACCCTGACGATGCTGAAGAAGACTTCAAAAGACTAAAATCCTTAAATCCGTCCATGTCAGCAACAGTTGACAAAGAACTCGAACATATAAAGAAATTAAGAAAACAAAAAGAGGAACAGGACAAAGATGCGCTTAAAAAAATGTTTGTGAAGAATGCAAATGGGACCACATAGCACTTGGAATAAGGTTTAATTTATAATGGGTTGTGCAGTGTTATAAGGGTTAATATACCTTGGTATTGTTCTGTAATCATCTATGCTTGATTGACAAACGTATTCTTATGTCCTTTGTCTTAAGGTTGGATATCCATCAATCGTCGTTTGTTTTGAGTGCATATTACCCTTTCATGCGTACTCCTGGTGCAAAGAAATAAGTACATAATAGAATAGTAAAGTATTTAATTATGTTTATGTAAATGAAACTAATACTATCTTTTAGTAATATTATTTTCCAAGAAGGAATGAAAGATGTACTAGGAAATTATCGATGTGACGTCTTTCTTAAATTGTACGCGGATAGTTTGTAGTTGAACGCAATAATGTCGACGCACATGTAGGTATGATTATATTTCGTTATAATTTAAGTATGGAATGCAAAGGGCTAAGTACTAGTTTTTTATGTTTAACGAGATCGAAACGAGACCGCGTGAGGCGCTCTGATTGATTGGTTCATTGGAGCCGGCCAATCAGAGGCCTTAGTACGAGTTTGATTTACGTTTAAAGTGGTTGGCCGGCGCCAATAAACCAACCAATTAGAGCGCCGAACGAGGTTTCGTTACGAATACTTTAAACGTAAATCAAACTCGTACTAAGGCCTCTGATTGGCCGGCTCCAATGAACCAATCAATCAGAGCGCCTCACGCGGTCTCGTTTTAACTAAGCCCTCAGACACAGCGATTGCAATAATATCTAAAATTTATTTATTTAACCAAAGCAATGTTCATGCAAATAAATGTAGTTTATTAATTTTACTAGATTGTTATCTATAAAACATGACGTTTTCACGAAAGGTTATGAATTATCATGCTATGATCAATAGAAGCCAGCATATATATCATAAATACACTTTATAAAGCTGGCAATAAGAATCATTTTCTTTTACTCGAGAAGTACATAAAAATAGCTTTACATACTTATAAATTAGTAGTGTTCTCTTGTACCTATTGTAAGGCTTTATTGTGAGCAAATAAAATGTATTCAATGTAAATGTACTTAAATGTAAAAATTAGACTAAATACCTCATAACGTGCTATTCTATCGTGATAGTATATCTTACTTCCATATTTAGATAACCTTTTGTACGAAGACTTTTCTAAATCTATTCCGAATGTAACTTATTTATTTCAAATTCTATTTATTGTTTATAATATCTTAAAGAAATATATCTTATGTTTAACAAATTGAATTTTATTACTTTGTGCACAAGTGTTTTTACTAAATATCTAATTGATCAATGCGAAAAAGTTACAGAAACATTATACAATATGAGGTTTGGAACGAAAGGTGAGAAATTGAGGACAAATAAAAATGAACAAAATCTTACTACTTATTTTTTTTATACCACAACGGTGGCAAAAAAGCTCGCGGCCAACCTAATGGTAAGCGGTTACCGTGGCCTATGTACGCCTGCAACACTTGGGGCAAACAAACCTAAACACTATTCACTCCCCTCTTGAAGAACCCCATGTTATAACCCACTGGGAAAACCACGGCAGGGAGTTCATTCCACAATCTGAGGGTCCGTGGGAGAAAATTCCTCTGAAACCGAACTGTACGGGATCATTTGGGCTCCAATGTGTGAGCGTGAACTATGTCGATGTCTGTACTAACATTATAAATGTGAAAGCTTATTTTTATATATTTATTTAATGAGCCGACGTTTGGCCTCGTGGTAGACGATGATGCGGCCTACGATAGAGCACGTCTGCACCTCAGCAAGCAACCTATTGACTCGAGACTTGAAGACACCCTTACCCTTCAGGAAACAGAATCTGAAACAAGTTGTGTGTTAATTATTATTATTTATATATCTTTATATCACATAGGTAAGTATTTAATAATCTAAGCCCCACACAATCAGGTCAAAACTGCTGAAGGGATCGCGATGAAATTTTAGTGATGTGAAAGTCGCTGTTAAAAAATCCTGTACCTATAATTCATTTCTAAACGAATAATAAACTGTCACGTCACTATCAGTTGTGCTGCAGTTGTGTGTTCCAGATCATAAATGTTACCTATTTTGGCGTTAAAGGCATAATAGCATTGTCGATCCTGCTAACACTTTAACGATTTTCTGTCTGGCAGAAAAGGACAGATATGAAAACACGCCGGTTGTCATAGACTCAGAAACATAACCTCAAAACATAACTCGAATCAAAACTTTTACGAAAGTAAATATTGAGTTTATTTATTTTGTTTGCTTTAAAGTTTTAAGAATGGCAGAGGAAAATGGAACAGTTGACACTGTTGTCGAAGTTCCCGAAGTCAAAGAAGAACAAGTTGAAGAAGAATATGCGTATTTAGATCGAGGAGGTTTCTCTTCAGAAAAGTTTAAAATTGAACTGCGTGGTCTGCCCAAATTTTATGGAATAGCGGTAAGATAACAGCTGGAGTTTTATATAATTAGCTATGAATCACAGATTTATTGAAACTGCACCAAAGTTATACACCACTCTAATACAGTGTGTAGAAAATGAGAAATGTAAACAAATGTTATTTTTTAAGTTTTTGCTTAACTGAACAACCATTGTAATTTGGTATATTACTAGTTTCTGGATACCTTGGGAACGTGGGCAAAGCTGCAGGTTCCCGTTGTATAGAAAGTAGCCTATGTGTTATTCCAGAACATAATCTACCCTTATTCCAAATTTCATTCCGATCCCTTGAGCCGTTTTGATGTGAGACAGTAACAAACATACACACTATCGCATCTATGGTATTATGGTTTTAATTGAAATAAATAAATAATAAATTATAGAAAGGATTTCAGATTAATTATAAATTTCCATTATAAAAATTTAATTAGGTACCTGTTAGAGTGTTACTTTCTCTAATAAAAAAAGTTTAATTTTCAGGAACTAAAAAAGTTAATGAACCAGAAACTAGGGTTAAAAACAAGTAAAATCAAAAGGCCAAGGAATGGCAGCCAGTGGCTGTATGCATGCTTCCAAAATGATGAGGATCGGAAGAGTGCAGTTGAGGCGCTCAATGGTTATTCGTGGAAGGGTAAATATGTATAACATTGTTTTTATTTCATTACAAGTCTATGAAAGTAGAGATTGGGGCTCCATCTTCTTTTATTTATAGTTTTATGTGAATAGCATAGAAATTCCAAGAAAATTTTTCTAAATATATAATAACTTAAACTGTCAAACACCGAGCAGTCACCGGTGACCGCAACGTATTGTTCTTTATTTTTTTTTTTTTTCTTTTTCTTTGGCAACTGAGTCTCCAATACGATGTTGTCGACTATACTGCCAGTGTCGAGTGGTGACGGCAGTTAATGCACCGTCGAACTTTAACTTTCTGGTAGTTGTTAGTAACTGGAAGAGACAAAAACAATTGAGTTAGTAAACATATACCGTCAATAGACCTAAAATTATAATATTATTACCTAACACCAGATAAATAATTAAATAGAAACAATCATAACACACAATATTTACATGAATACACACCGTTATATTTTAATACAATTTTCTTTAATAAATTTGGACAAGCACTTAATTAATTTGGGAGAAAAATTTATTAGGAGGGAGTGGAAGTTGATTGGAAGCGGGATTTGGATTTTGGGAAGGTTTCCATATAAATCGAAGGATTGGGAATTTAGAGGGCAAGAGAAAAATATGTGGTCTAGGGTTCCCTCATCGAGACCGCATTCGCACAGCGAGCTGTCACGTACACGGATCTTGGCAAGGAATACCGGACTAGTACAGTGGCCGAGTCTGAGTCTGCACAAGGACGAAATAGTTTGTCTGGGAAGCTTCTTATACTTGGAAAACCAAGGTTTCCGCCGGATGTCGGGCTGGATACTTGCAAAGTAAGCTCCTTTACGCTTGGAGGAGTCCACCCACACTGCAGCCCACGAGTCGAAAAGCTTGAGTTTTGTATCCGCGCGTATGTCATACCCATACACAATGTAGTGGTGACGTTCAACATTATTCACGGCCGCAAACTTTGCCAATCTGTCAGCACACTCGTTACCGCATATACCAGAGTGGCCAGGGATCCAGGCGATCTCGATATTTAGTCCGTCGTTTTGGCAGGAGAAAAGTAAAGATTTTATCTGAATTATCAGACTACTATGAGTCCGGGAATAAAGCTGGTCTTGACCGAGCGCTTGTAAGCTACTTAGAGAGTCTGAGAAAATAACTGAGTTTCTGAGGTTGTGCGATTCAATAAATTTAATGGACTCCAGAATGCCGACACATTCCCCAGTGAATGTTCTTTAATTGTGTCTATAAATACGGTACTTGACGAGTTAAATTATAATTTAACAATTACGATGTAACAAGCATTATTAAGTTGTCTTTTTTTTGATAATTGAACTATTTGCTGTTATATCCTGTTCTTTGTTTAAACTGTTAAACACCAAGCGGTCACCGGTGACCGCAACCTATTGTTCTTTAATTGTGTCTATAAATACGGTACTCGACGAGTTAATGCATGTTGTGGCAGCCTTTAATTAAGGCTACACAATACAATGTTAAAATATGTTAAAAACCTATCATGTATTTTGGTGTATGCTTTGTTGGTAGCCCTTAAGTAAATAAATAATTTTTGTTCATTATGAAACAACCTGCATCCATTGGCTCCCTGCAACCTCAATTAAATCATCTGTCCTACATGCTTGGGTGGATTTCTTACATTAATGATAACAAATTTAAATCTTCAGGAAAGACTCTAATAGCTGAAGAAGCAAAACCAGCTCCGGATCCATTAGTTAGGAAGAGAAAGCAAGATGACGAAGTGGGTCAGAATAAGAAGAAGAAAGAGGAGGATAATAGAAGTCAAGTACAGAAGTTGAAGGATGCCACCACTCCTTACTGGAACATTGATTATGAGGAACAGGTACAAATAGGATAAATGTGTCTCACTACATATTATAACAATGAACCTTGGTACTGTATGTATAGTGCTAAATATTTTTTTATTCTTTATTTGTTGATCCACTGCTCTATTTTATTTAGCTGTACCTGCAGTTTTTCCGAAGCCATTTGTCGCATCTTGGTTACTCGCAAGATATGTGGTGTTGTCCGCATATGTAGTCTGTGGTCACATGATCTGATGTATAGAACTGGTCCTAGTACTGAGTATTGGGAAAAAGAAATAAAAAATTATAGTAATGTAGGTACTAGAAAGTACTCAAGTAAATTACTGGGTAGAACATAAGCTAGATAATAAAACTTAATATTTATTAGATCCAGTGAAACAGAAAGCTTTATTCCATTCTATTCTAAAAAATTACCATTATGACATGTTAAAGTAAAAATTTCTGGACTTTATCATTCCACATTAAAGGGTTTACTTAAGATATGTATTTAAATTATTTTCATTTCATTTAATGTATACCAGAACAAAGATCTACACAATATACAATATATTTTCTATTGTGTTTATATCCCGGCCATAAAGAGATTAATTGTCCTATTTATGTTTACAGTTAAAACTAAAAGAAAAGGAAATAAAGCAGATACTAATGAAGTTTGACAATGAAAGATGGAAGATAGACAAGAACAGACGTAATGACATTGAAGCAAACAGAAAGATTCACGATGGCCTGAGTTTTGAACTGAGGCCAATCCAGAAGTCTCCGGTAACAATGGGATATAGGAATAAATGTGAGTTCACAGTGGGATATGATGAAGAGACCAAGTTGCCCACTGTTGGGTTCAGGTTGGGGAGCTATGTGACCGGCACTGTGGCTGTCGGACCTATACAAGAAATGATTCATATCTCTGAGAATACTAAGAAGGCTGTTTTGGTAAGAATATGTGTTATTTTTAAATAATTGTACCTCATTAGTAACCTAACAACTTTTGACTTTTAAGCTGTCTAAGCAAAGTTCTCGATAACAGCATGCAGTAAGAACTATAGAATTACATAACATCACACATTTTATCCCCAAAGAGATAGGATACGTGCAAATTACAGCACATAATGTCACTGTACAATGTAACACCCACTTTTAACTATTTATGTTGTGAGTCCCATGTAATAGGGGGGTGAGCCTATGTCCTATTGCCATATACCGGGCAGGATCCCAGAGACAACTGATTGTTTAAAATCTTAGTAAAACTTTACCCGACCGGAAATCGAACCAGAGACCCCTTACCCAGCAGTCGCACTTGCGACCACGCGACCAACGAAGCGGTCAATATATAGAATTTTAAAATTTCTTGAGTGGATCTTATATCAAGCCGGCTATCGCGGGTTCGTCTCTTAAGGGCCGTTTTTTTTTTAAGAGGGGAAAATCATCTAATGACTGCTCCCGCCTGGGTGAGGCGGGAGGGAGTGTCAGACTCTTACTGACTAAAAACCACCCCGTTCCTTCTCCTGCACGTCGAGCCGGAGCCCCGGTAACCCGTTAGGTTCTCCGCGACCTCTTAAGGGCCTAGTACGAGTTTGTTTTACGTGTACAGAGATCGAAACGTCACCGCATTTCGTCCTAATTGGTTAGTTCACTACTAAGCTCTCTTAATGGTTCCTATACTGAGAAAAAACCTCCCACTACGCGCATATCTAATTCACTAGACTAGACTACAGCTCGATAGGTATCTGTATGTCTGTACATCTGTGTAAATGAAATGTTCGTACGTAAATAATAATGATTATGTAAACATTTCAGCTGTTTCAAGACTTCGTCCGCAAATCAAAGATGGCGCCGTTCTCTCCAGCTGATTACACAGGCTACTGGAGGTTCCTCACTGTAAGGGACTCCACTTCCACTGGTGACGTCATGCTTATTGTTGTAATGCATCCTCAGGTAAGTTTCAAATGTTTTACACGAAAATAAATCTTATGTCCTAAGGTTTATAATTCAGAATGGATTACAGAGCAGTGCTTGCTAGTTAATATAATTTGCAATTTTTGGGTTGCTGAATATAAAAAGTAATTTATACATTATTTTCTTGTCTGTATAGAAATACTTCGAGGTAATCTCAATTAGATTTCACAGTATTTTATCATTGATTTTCTTATATACAATAACATTTTCTTTAAAAAAGTAACTTTTCTTTTCAGAATCTTACGGAAGAAGAAATAGAGCAGGTGAAAAGGGATTTAATCGACCATTTTAATTCCGAGCAAGCTGTCGCATGTGGGATCAAATCTCTATATTTTGAGCTTGTTGTCAAAAAGTATGTACTTACTTTTATATAAATCTACTCATTTATTGTTTATGTGACGTGAACTTTTAGTCTGACATGATAATTGATAAATTCTACACGATAAAAACTAAATCTAGGCATCGTAACCACTGTAGTTCCAATAAAAAACTTTTGTTATTTAAATTTTCTACGAAAAGGTTAACCTAAAATGGTACCTATGTAATACTAATTTCAACTTACAGACGAGTGGGCGAAGACGGAGCTAAACCAGTACATCTATCAGGGTCCACACACATCATCGACACTATACTTGGCAAACAGTTCAGGATATCGCCCGAAGCATTTTTCCAGGTAATTTTTTTTTTTTATTAAATGTTACATCGACTCTATGATTTTCTCTTGTGTCATAGGTGCGTTTACAAACATACAATTTTGCATGCACATGACACCAGACCCGAAACAACAATTTGTGGTTCTCACAAAGCATTGTAGGAATCACAGTCGGTGGTAAAAAATTAAATTGGTGTTGCAGGCGTATATAGGCCACGGTAACCACTTACCATCAGGTGGGCCGTGTGAGTTTTTGCCACCGTCGTGGTAAAAAAAACCTTGTAGCGCTAAAAATAGAGCAGGATAGCAACATAATGGTTTTCTTCTATATTTTTGTTTTATAGGTGAATACGGCGGGTGCTGAAGTGTTATACCAAAGCGCGATAGAGCTGAGTCAAGTGCAGAAGGATTCTAAGGTTCTCGATATATGCTGCGGTACTGGTACCATTGGACTGTGCTTTGCTCCGGTAAGGATTTTGATAATAGTACTAAATAGTCTATATAATATAGAAGTTACATACACATATAAATAACTAGCTTTTACTCGCGGCTTCGCTCGCGTCACAAGAGGATAAAAAGTAGCCTTAGTGACATATACCAATACACACAGTCACACAGCGCCATCTATACCAATACTTCTGTTTTTCGTCGGGAATATCAATTTTTTCGGGGATAAAAAGTACCCTATTATTTAATCCAGATTTCTAACTTAATGTCTGCAAAAATTCAAAGCAATCGGTTTAGTAGTTACGGCGTGAAAGCGGAACAAACAAACAAACTCACTTTCCGATTTATAATATTAGTAAGGATTGTACAACAATTTAGATAGTACTAGCGACCTGCCTCGGCTTCGCATAAGTGCAGTATGCATGTATTATACATAATAAACCTTCCTTAAGAATCAATCTATCTATTGAAAAAACCGCATCAAAATCCGTTGCGTAGTTTTAAAGATCTACGCATACATAGGGACAGACAGACGGCGGGTAGTGACTTTGTTTTATACTATATAGTAATTCAACCCTGCCACCACATAGCTCATAGCTACTGTACTTCTGTTTATTATGCAGTAAAAGCTTAATGAGAACTTAACATTTTCATTTGGCGCCACTGTCGTTTATGGGGTCCGTTCAGTTATATGCTAATCACACGTGAACTTTATCTCATTAAAAAGTCATTATAACTAGGGTTTGTCTTATACAGTTAGCTGTTACGGCTTGACATCTTCAATAAGATAGTTATATAATAGGTTAGCAAAAATGTTTTTTTTTTTACTTTACGTCCTTTTATTTACAGCACTGTGGCAGAGTATTAGGCTTGGAGATGATAACAGAGGCGGTGAAGGATGCGAGGGCAAATGCCGAGCTTAATAGTATACAGAACTGTGACTTCTTCGCCGGCAAGGCCGAGGATATACTGACGTCGGTACTCGCCAGGGCTGATGGGGACGATATTATTGCTATTGTGGATCCACCTAGAGCTGGATTACGTAAGTAACCTGTAAATAATTATTATATTAGGAAATAGATAATTATGTTGTAGACTTGTAGATACCTAATTATACCTAATTAGCATGTTGTTACATATAGTAATAATGTAATTATAGATGTTTAGAGTGGTTAAAAAAGAACTATTTTAGTAAAAAAAAAAACACTGAAATTATCTGTCTATTTGCGATACTATATTGAATTAAATTTGAATTCCTTGGACATCCAAAATATAACGTGATTTTTAAAATAACATTTATTTATTTATTACACAAATAATGAAATAATACACACTGAATCTTAGTATTAGGTAGGTATAATAAATTCAAAATGATTTTAAAGTCTGCCTCGTTGGCCGAGTGGTCGCAAGTGCGACTGCCGGGCAAGGGGTCTCGGGTTCGATTCCCGGGTCGGGCAAAGTATTACTGGGTTTTTAAAAATTCTCAGTAGTAGCACGGAGTCTGGAATTGTGCCCGGTATATGGCAATAGGCTCACCCCCTATTACATGGGACTCATAACATAAATAGTGAAAAGTGGGTGTTACATTGTACAGTGGCATAATGTGCACCTCTGCCTACCCCTTCGGGGATAAAAGGCGTGATGTTATGTTTGTTTGATTTTAAAGTTGACGTTTCGGTAACTCAACTGTTTTCAAGCCACGCTAGGGACCTATAATCATGAAACATTAGTGAGCCGTAAAACATAAATAAATAATTTAATATGTTTTACGACACTCGCGAGAGTTATAAAACAAACATTTCGACAGACATGAGAGCAGTGACACAGCTAAGGAACACACGTAAAGTGACTCGCCTGGTCTACATATCGTGTAGTCCATCATCAGCCGTGAAGAACTTCGTGGACCTCAGCCGGCCGTCCTCCAAGACACTGAGGGGAGCACCCTTCGTGCCAGTACGCGCTGTACCCGTCGACATGTTCCCACAGACTAAGCATGTAGAATTGGCTATATTGTTTGAAAGAGAGGTAAGATTTGTAGACCTAATTTATTTATTACTAGCTCTGCACAGCTCCTATTAGTCATAGCGTGATGTTTTATAGTGTATAGCCATCCTCGATGAATGCGCTATCCAACACAAAAAGAATTATTCAAATCAGACTTGTAGTTACGGAGATTAGCGCGTTCAAACAAAATAAGAAACTTCCGCTTTATATAATAGTATAAGATAAGATTATTGTACACGGCTTTACAACAATTACATTAACATCAAATCAAACAGTTACAATAATAGAAAAAGAAGAAAAAAAACATAAGAAAATTCACAATAAAAAAAATGATGTAATACCTCTATATAATAACTAATAGATCTCATAAATGTGACCTACTAAATTACTGAGGTCTTCTCTCACCCACCCCATTATAGACCTTATTTCCAACTTTTAGAGACTACTGTTGTATGAATAAAGGAGAATGAATGAAAGTGATGCGTATGTTCGTTTGCCTCCTATTATATTGTATAAGTTTGTTATAAATATGAACATGGATCCACCAAAGCGGAAATTTACCTAATTGTAGGTAGTAATTTTTTCGTACATCGTACATTAATTGGATTTTTATTAGCTCAAGGCAGGTTTTGTAGCGCCAATAACTATATCTGTATTATTCATTTTTAACAGGAATCTCCGGCTCCGGTAGAAGAATCAAAATCTGAAGACGCCGTACAAGAGGACGCGTCAAGTCAAGAAACAAGTGAAACTGCAGATGTAGATAGGCAAGGAAATGATAATAATGTAGCGTAGAACTCTATATAGTATTCGTTATAATACAATTTTACATATACTGTTAAAGATTTTGTGTATTATTTTATTTTACCTCCGTTTTCTTGTGCAATAGGGTAAATGACTCATTTTTATTTTAATGTCCCTCTGGTAGATTATTTTAAAACATTAGACACGTATTTTTATTTTCTTACTGAAACAAATACTTTTGACGATATATTTGATTTAAAATATCGCGTTACGTCACTTCTATGTACGTTTTATAGAAATGACGTTTTAGCTCCACTCCTAAACTTTAATTCGTTTTATCTTAGTATTATTTTGGCAATAAGTACGACAAATTAAAAAATACGTGTCTAATATTTATATTAATTTATTGATGGACTAAATATTTTTTTATTTTCAAACCCCGTCACCATCCCTATTGGCTAGTAACTTACCTAATGGAAGCAGGTATAACATGCCACTACCAATCAAATTTTAGTTCCCATAAGTATAGTCAAGTGAAAAAAAAAACACGATTTTTCTAAATACTAAGGGGGCGTACCTACATAGATTACGTGAGGTACTTTTTTTATTATCTGTCCTTCCACCCCCTGGTGAGATTTCGTAAGATTTTATTTAACACCTTCCCTCATTCCCAATCTCACGGGAGATTTTTCAAAATGTTGGTTTTTCACGTAAACTCGTTGGATTGCTATTGTAAAAAAAATTGCTCGTGCTTTTATTTACTAGTTAAGACTAGTAATCAATATTACTGAGAGTTATAAGTGTAATAAAAATGTAACAATAGAATACGTATAAAACAAATGCATGTAATACAATTAAATCTTAAGTATGTACAATTTTTTTTTTGTTTCAATCAGAATAAAAATGCGTGATATTTACCGAGACCCCCCTCTCTCTAACGTAAGATTAAATGAGATTTGAGTCTACCCCTAGTCCCCCCTTAAACATCTCACGTAATTTATGGACGCCCCCTTAAAGCAACTACTACTTAAACAAAATTAAATTAAAAATTGCAATATGAAATTAATGTCGACATACTCAAACGCTACTCAGTTTTAAATCACGCTTTTTTTTGTAAGGGTGGAAAATCATCGAATGACTGCTCCCGCCTGGGCGAGGCGGGAGGGAGTGTCAGACTCTTACTGACTAAAAACCACCCCGTTCCTTCTCCTGCACGTCGAGCCGGAGCCCCGGTAACCCGTTAGGTTCTCCGCGACTCCGAAAGTCACGCTTAAGTATAGTTCTGTTACTACAAATTCTTTGTACTAAACTGCCAAAGATGGCACGTTATTTAAGCACAACATAAAATTGAGTATCCTTTCAGTATTCGGGCGTAAGCAGCAAAGTAACACTATCAGCATCATTCACTCGTAAACATGTCATTTACAAAACAAATCGTCACTCTAAATAATTTAATAGACGACGGTTTACCACAAACCTATCTATCCATAATGAAATATAATGTTAATCTGCCGGGACGGGACCTCATCTCGCGCGCGTCAACTCGCCAGGAATTTAATAAAGCGCCCGACACCGCCTTGCATTCCACCGCCCAAGTGCCGACAATTTCGATGGATATACGTATTTATTAATATGGAACTTTCTGGATATCTTCACGTATTCAGTTATATAACTAGTTTGAATATCCCGTATTTGGCTGTGTTTTAATTTTAATAAAAATATTTGGTCGGTATATATTGGTCATCTAATTATTATATAAAATCTATTTCATTACAAAATATAATAATAATATCGGTTACTAACGGCGACTAGCTGACAAGAGAAGATTTTTAAGCTCATCATAGCGATGTTTATAATTAGATACAAGCACATCTATGAATTAATACTATACGCTTCGTGAGTTAACTGTTTTCGTCATATTACGAGGCTGTATAGTAAAGTCGGAAAGCATATAACTCAGAAGTAACTTAAATAAGAGAATAAAAAAACGAAAGACACCCCATACACTTTAAAAGAAACATAATCTTTTCGTCTGTACAAAATCCCTAACACTTTTTCAGTGGACTGTACACCAACCCTACATACCGTCACCTCTCTCAATAAGAACCGCGTAGCTATATATCTTTGCATAGTTGTGGAGCTAAGGGATCTTCTCATTGTCTATCCGACTGTCGGACTAAGCGGTCAGGTCTAGGATCCAAGCAATGTGCTAAAAACCACCGTCTCGCAATGGTGCTAAAGTGCTTAGTAACAATTTTATCACTATATGTGTGTTTTCATTTCTCGTTTACGTTCAAGAGTAATGATGGTAAGTAGTACTGTTTTTATCTAATTTTGTCAAAAATGAAGGGCGAATTTTAGTGTTTAATATTTTGAAAGAAGCTTCTAAGTTTTAGCAAGGAGATTTAGTCTCCATCAAGTTCTCCTTCATTAGTTAATAATAATTCATTCTGTCTCCTGCAGTAATTCACCGAGGGAAGTGGAAACTATCGTTTTTTTCTTCTCCTCTATAATATCTTCTGATTTACTTCGTTGCGGGAACCAAGACAGTTATCCATGTCCCTGGGACGCGCCGGACTTCAGTGTTCCGGTGTTTCCATGGTTTTATCTACTGTAGACCCTGGCTTAAAGGAGTTATGGCGGGCTTGTCTCTTAAAAAAATTTTTTTCTTGAATAGTTTTTGGGTAGTCTGTGCTTTTAAAAAAGTGTTAAAAATTTTAGTCCTTTTCAAGAAGTTCTTTATACGATAATTGTTTTTTTTATTAGATTATATAGCGGAAAGTGAATCAGTCTTGGATCCGAATGGAGATTTCTTACTAAAATGGCAGATCAACTATGCAATCAGGAAAATTCAGTTCCAACTAGTTATATCGGATAAGGCTCCTACGTTCTACTGGTTTGCTTTGGGCTTCTCTGATAGAGGAAACCTGAACAATTCTGATGTCTGCGTGTTTTGGACAGATTATAAGGGGAAACATCATTATGAGGTAGGTGACATTTCATGTATTTTTTTTTATCTTTATTTATTTACAGGGTTTTTTCTTAGTAGAAAACGTCACCCCGATTATTGAGTACAAAAAGAATACTTAGACTTACATTTAAGTTAACCTACCCGCAACCTAGTACCCATAATAATAAGACATTTCATGTATTTTAAATATCTACTTAACAATTTAGATGGCTAAATATCCAGTTAATGGCTGAAAATTGTTCTTTTTTATATAGAAATAATTTTATTATGTAACGGTGACTGCCTCGTTGGTCGAGTGGTCGGGCAAGTGATTACAGGGGGTTTAAAAAAATCTCAGTAATAGCACAGAGACTGAAACTTATATGGCAATAGGCTCACCGCCTATTACATAGTGAAAAGTGGGTGTTACAGTGTACAGTGGTCGCAAGTGCCGTAATGTGCAACTCTGCCCATCCCTTCGGGGATAAAAGTGATGTTGTGTTATTTAACGGAATATGTAGCATTTCCGGAAGATGTTTTCGAGTTTGCCATATCATCATTTAAAAAAAAAAATTGGCATCTCACATCTTTGATTAGACTTTGGTCGAGTATCTAAATTACTTACCACTGATAACTCCACTTACCTACCTTCCTAAAAATCATACTTAACACGCTAATATTTGTGTTTCCATAGGACATGCATGCTGATGATGAAGGGAAATTGTTACGGGATTCCCAGCAAGACTGTGGCAACTTCCACCCCGACCCTGACTCTTGGAGCTTCCTATTTGAAAGGTTTTTCGACACCTGTGATGATGACGACTATATTATTGAGGTGAGAGTCAAGTTCAATGAATGTACATTTGTACAGTTCACGCAATGTATGGGGAAATAGCCACTGCGCAACATGTTGCGGGTTAGATTACCGCAAGGCAATAGTCTTTGTGGGTTCCACAAATTGATCCTGGTCTGAGTTTTCTGTTTGTGCCTTTGTATGTTTGTTGGAAATGCACCCACGACACAAGAGAAAACCCCAATATGGGTGGAGGTCAATAACAAAATCCTTAACATGTTTCTTAACATAGTTATCAATACGTAAAGGATTAAGTACTAACTACTCAAACGTCCGCGTCACGTCAGCGCACACGACTTGAACGCTCGCGCGGCACGCGCGCTTACGCGCCGTGTACGTCTCCGTCTTACAGCCTATTTTCTATCAATCTACAACAGTTATAGCAAATTAAAAAAAATAATTATCGAGAATTGTTATGTTTGTGATCACTTCCTTTCACAGGACGGTACGGTCCACATAGTTTGGGCTCACGGGACCGACAAGTTGTTCTCGTCCAAGGGTCTCTGCCTCACTTGCACCCCACCACACGACCATGGCTTCATCAGAGTGCGTCTCTTTACTCCAGTGGGGCTGAAACAAGTCACTGATGCGTACCAACTACGTATAACTAACAAAGACCTTAAAGTCCCTGGAGACGATACCACCTACTGGTGTCATGTTGTCAAGCTTCCGGAGTTTGTTACGAAGAAGGATCATCATATTATACAGGTGAGAAATTATAGGATAATAAATATTTAGGTACTTAGACAATGGCTTAAATGAGCAACGATAAAGGTGACATACTTAAACATGTCGGTTTCCTGAATAAACGAGCATGCATGAAGAGGAAGTGAAAGACGCAAAGCAGAATGGTTCAATTGTTCCAATATGTTCCATCATGATGATGGAACTATTAAAGACATTAAATCAAGTTAAAGTCGACTACACGTAGTGACGTAGATTTAGCCGTGCACGATGCAAGGTAGTCTTTTTGTTTCGAACAACTGAAATAAAATTACGTCTCAATACAGTACACTGAAATAAAATGACATTTCAGTACAGTACAGAGATTAAATTACAAATTGAATAGAAACGCCAATTTATGGCTTATGATGTCTGTGACTTATGATAAGCGAAAATAATGAAGAAAAAAAAAGATTCGTGATTGATTGAATTTATATCCTGACTCATGTGTTCTCGTTTGTGTGACCTTTAGATGGCTTTCAATAACAAACCTAATTCATGGAAGTTTTAAGTCATGTTTCGTGTACCAGATTCAGATATTAGTAGGTAATAGGTATGAATGTTTAAACTATAATTTGATCGCAAAACAGAATTCAAAGTTCAATACTCTGATTTATTTCTATTTGACTCTCCTCACGTCTTTTTCTGATTTATCTCACCTATTTTTTATATTTAAGTTCGAATCCACTATAACCAAAGGCAATGAAGGCTTGGTGCATCATATGGAAGTATTCTATTGCGACGCTGACCCCGACAAGGAGATACCGCTGTATGAAGGCAACTGTTTCGCTCCGAACCGACCAGAAATCACTAAGACATGTTCTAAGGTGAGAAGGTTTCATACATAACTAATAATGCTGATTAAAAAATTGATAGATAGGCCCATAACATACCTACACTTAGTAAGTGCTAATGTAGGCTCAGTAAGCGGCAATAATTCTGGAAATTCTTATTTATGTTAGAAAACTCACTACATTTTTCTTCTCTATGTATTAAGAAGTGTAATGCTAAGGCTGACTGTTAGAGAATATTATTGGGCATTAAGTCTACCATTGTATGTATATTTATTAATTGTACAAAAAGTGTAAAATAAATAATATTATTCTAAAGGTAAAAGCGGCTTGGGCAATGGGAGCTCCTCCCTTCGTGTATCCAAAGGAGGCCGGCCTGCCTCTCGGAGGACCGAAAGCAAACAAATTCATTATGCTCGAAGTGCACTACAATAATCCGGAAATGAGGAAAGGTACGTTTTACATTCAAACGTTATTTTAATGCAAAATTAGTTTTAAAATAGGTAGTCTAAACTGTCAAACACCAAGCGGTCACCGGTGACCGCGACCTATTGTTCTTTAATTGTGTCTATAAAACCGGTACTCGACGAGTTAAGCATATCTTACATTAAGGCTATCTCATGGAATATCTACCATGTAATGCCCGTTACCGAAATCCAATAAAACCCCAACAACACCATACCCGACCCGAAAATCGAAACCGTCCCTGTAAACAGTCGACCAACAAGACAATCAATATGGCAATTGTAATTAATTACCTTGACCGATATAAACTAAAAATGTAATTTCTATTCTTATTTTTAGACTGGGTTGACAGTTCAGGTATAATTCTCCACATTTCCGGCAAAAAACGAAAATACGATGCGGCTATCATGGAACTCGGGTTGGAATATACTGACAAAATGGCGATTCCCGGAAGGCAGAAAGCTTTTCCTTTGACGGGATATTGTATTCCACAGTGTACGGGTGTGGTGAGTAACCGCATTTATTTTTTAACATGATTGTATTACAGTGTCATGGTGGTCCGGAAGTTTAAGATGCCTGCTTCTCATGCCGTGTATGAGCCTGCTCATAAGTCTTAAACCACCGGACCCCGGGTGCGGGTTCGAAACCTACCAACGGCAAGTACCAATGTGACTTTTGCCAAGTTATATGTGCTTTCTAAGATTATTTAGACACCACTGACAAACGGTGAAGGAAAAACATCGTGAGGAAACCTGGACTTATAATTTCTAATTATAAGTTTGAAATCGCCAACCCGCATTGAGCAAGCGTGGTAATTAATGCTCAAACCTTCTCCGTGTGAGAAGAGGTCAGCAGTGGCCACTTATAAGCTGTTGATGTTGATGTTATATTACAGATAATAGTATCTTCAGTTTTAATTCTATCAGATAATAGAATCTTGCAAGTATTTTTACTACCTGCTAATGCTAATAGAGGGGTCTGTCCTCCGCTCTAGGTCCAATTTTCATAAAAATTAATTCAGTATTATAAGCAATGGAACGACAGAAAGAACATTATCCTAACTTTTTATAAATATTATGTGTCACTTAAAGTAACATTAAATTAATAAAACATTGTGAAAAACATCCTAAAAGATCTGAAATATAATATACTTATCAATTTTCATTAAAAATCTATTATTTGCAGGGTCTACCACCAGACGGTATAGTAGTCTTTGGCAGTCAGTTACACACGCACTTGACAGGAGTAGCGGTTTGGACGAGGCACTCGCGTCAAGGCGTGGAACTGCCCTACCTCAACAGGGACGTACACTACTCCACACATTTCCAAGAGATCAGGATTCTACACAGACCTGTTAATGTTTTCCCCGTAAGTATAGTGAATGTATGGTGAACACAGAACATATTATAATACTAAATTAAATATTAAAGTTAAGAGTACTGGAAAATATATTACGACTCCCGTAAGACGTTCATTTAATTATGTTTTACTCTTGTAAATGTTTGACGAAGTAGCTGGACTAGTTTCAAGCCATACAAGGGCTTATAGTCGTCAGCGACGATTAGTTACGAGTTACCTCGTTTAATAATTACGTGAGCAAACTGTAAGGTATATTAGAAAACCAAAATAATTCAAGTCAAGAAGTACTTCTTTCCTGAAGTTCATCAGTTTATTATGTATCACATTTTTAATTTATCCAGGGAGACTTCCTAGAAACGACTTGTATTTACAATACGGAGGAGAAGGACAACGCTACTATCGGTGGTCACGCGATCACAGACGAGATGTGTGTCAACTACATTCACTACTACCCCGCCACACAACTCGAGGTCTGCAAGAGTGCTGTCTCTAACGCTGCTCTAGAAAGCTACTTCAAGTTTGAGAAACGGTAAGATAACCTACAGAAAATTATAAGTGACAAATGTTTGAAATTGTCCATTGATTTAATCAGTTCTCAAAAAATAGGATGGATGTGGTTGACGATGCGCTAGTGGTATCTTTAGTGCTGCACCCATAGACTTACAGTAGCTACTTTCCATTTGACGTAACATGAGATTTTTGAACACTTCAACAGAAAAATATGTGGTCTATTCTTTCTCAAGGAGATAGAGGAAGAGGTTATTTAGGAGAACAAAACAGTTTTGTAGTCTCTTAATCATCCTAATGTCTATTTTGGAGTTTTTCCCAATCAAAAGTTTTTCCATACGCGACAGAATACATTATAAAGTCTCATTATTGTTGCTTTTATTCTGCAGAAACAGTTTATTTACAGAGATTTCTACAACTGAAAAATGTATGGCGAGATCTATCTAGGCATTCACCTTAAGTTCTGCAATTTTTGTTCCAGTTGGGACAATATGTCGATCTCGTACACAGCATCCCCCCGCAACAACTACCTCGCCATCAAACCTTGGACACACCTCCGAGCTAGCTCTCTGCACGCCCTCTATACTGACTCTCCGATATCCATGCAATGCAACAAGTCCGATGGCAGTCGATTCCAGGTACGGTAGCATTTTTATGGGATAACTGGCAAACAAGTTTTAAGTGTGGGAGGGCCATGCCTCGGCACGAATGGGCCGGCTCGACCGGAGTGATACCACGGCCTCATAGAAAACTGACGTGAAGCAACGCTTGCGTTGTGTTTCGTCGTGTGAGTGAGGTTACTGGAGGCCTAATTACCTTCCCCTTCCCCAATCTCCCCAATCCCTGAATCCCCAACGATTCTTAAACTCCTAATCCCCAAAAGGCCGGTAAAGCACTTGTAACGCCTCTGGTGTTCCAGGTGTCCATGGGCGACGCCGATTGCTTACCATCAGGTGATCCGTCTGGTCGTTTACCGCCTTATGCCATAAAAAAAGTTGACATATCACCATTATGATAAGTAGGTCCAAGTGCGTTTCTGGCCTTTTAGAAACGGGCATGTACGGTGGCCGGTAGGTCAACCTATCGTTTTCTGTCATATTTCTCTATTACATCTTCAACTTTATACTATTGACATAAAGTCGAAAATGTTGTACAGCTACAATGATGTTACACACATTTGTGCTGTTTATTAAACTTTCACCGGTTTTCTGTTTATCTGTTCTGCAATATATTTTGAATAAGTAATCGGGTCATACATGTGTGTACACCGCACCCGTACAGCAAATCTTTTTGAGGGCCAGAAATATTTGTTCCCCAGGCATGATGTATTTCTAAGGCACCTAGAAGAACACCTAATATGAAAGAATATGTTCATTATTGTTATTGAGACATGGTTTATTTTCCAGGGCGACTGGGAAGGAATATGGATACCAAAGATCAAGTTGCCCCTGCCGGCTGAACAAAGGATATGCCCTGATATGACGATTAAAAAGTAAATAAAAGTTATGTAATTTAAACAAGCGTTACATTTAAGGGTTACATGCAATAAAATATCTGTTTTTGAAATGCTGAAAGTAACACAAAATCTACTGTAAAGTTTGGCAATTTGGCTGGCTGTCTCTGGTTATTTGGAGCCAACTTAAAAGGTAATGTAATCCTCCTCCAGGACTAAGTCTCGACAATGGTTATGGCGTTTGGTAGCTAAGTTAGAATGCAATCAATAAATTGTCACCATCAATGTCATAATTGAAGTAAAATAAGGTTGAAAACTGATTAAAAAAATTTACATGAATCTATTATGTATCATATTGCTAGTGTTAACATTTACATGCATAGTATTTGAACTATGTGAAAAAAAAATAGCTTATATTGTAATTATTATGATTGGTGTTTTAATAATAATGTGATAATTTTATGAGTGAAACTTGTGATAAAAGAAATAATGTTATCATCTAATATACTTTTAATGTAGATTGTTATTATTATACTTAGTTAAAGTGTGACAATATGAATGTCTGCTTACAATTTTTCGATTAATATGTATGTTAAAAATTATGTATTAGAAACAAAAATGTGACATTACACAATAATACACAAATCAATGTACAGTAGAAGTTTTAAAATAAAATCTAAATTTTAATTTTCGAGTTTTATCATTACCTACTTCCTTTATAACATAATAGAAAATTGAAATAATCCAAGAATATCCTTAATCCTAAGAATATTCTTAATCCTTCAAAGAATATCCTTATATAATCCTTTGTCCAAACCGGGAATCTAAATGGAGACCTTGCTTGCTTGGTCTTTGCGTTTACTACCAAATACAACACGGTACCTTTTGGTAGAAATTAATAATATCAAACCTCCAACAAAAGTAACTGAGAAAAGAAGACAGGGTTTCCAACACCTACAGTGACTAGACAAACAGGTAGCTCACGGGTAGGTACATCAGTGTTATCTGGAAAACGATACCCATCATTTGGACTTCTATCCAAATTATTAAGTATCAAAACATTTTCAATAATTGCCATCCATGCTTTAGAATGTCTAGAAGTATTATGGGTGCACTTCAGCCAAGGTTACTTCAACCTAGTCAATCATTAATTAAATACACCCTTTTGAAGGTGTATTTCTAGGAAAGTTCGTTTATTTTTTAGCTACAACATCTAGGTTTTGAGATATTTTTTATCTAATATGCAAGGATAAGAATAAAACATAAAAATTGAAAACATTATCTTTAATGTCGAATCCGAAGTGATCCGACAGAGAACTAAAGTTATTGATATAGCTCAAAGGATTAGTAATCTAAGGCAATGGGCCGGTCACATTTGTCGAAGAATCGATAACCATTGGGGTAAACGTGTTCTAGAGTGGAAAGCTCGCCTGAGCAAACGTAGTGTAGGGCACCCTCCAGTTAAGTGGAGTGACGACATCCGCAAGGTGACTGGTAGTGGTTGGATGAAAAGAGCTGAAGACCGAGCTCAGTGGCATACCAGAAACGGACAAACACGGGCTGATGATGATGACGATTATCTTTAATGACAGGACATGTCCTATCCTATCCTACTACCACAGTGCCACAGCCGGTGGCACCCAATGAGATACGTTAACAAACTCAGTGTTTTATTTGAGAATTTTTTAATTTCCAATATTATTATTTTTTAATCATTGCCCCACACTAGCAATAGGATTTCCTCTTGTGTCGTGGGTGCGTTTACAAATATATAATTTCGCATGCACATGACACTCAGATCCGAAACAACCATTTGTAGATCACACAAAGAGTTGCTCCGTGTGGAAATCGAATCCGCTACACGTTGCGGTCAAACTACAGTCAGTCAAATAAAAACATAATATGACTAGAATTATTATTCTTTTATTAGTGTGTCGTTTCTAAACGTTGATTTAATTTGTCAGTTTTCTTTTAAGCATCATCTGACAGTCTTGACATTTCACTAAACGACTGACATTTTGTTTTGCTTCCTTCTTGCGAAGTTCCTCTTGTTTATCATTTTCAAATTTATTTCTGGAAAACAGTATTGTGATCTGTAATCATGTCTAATGATTACGGGTTTAACAGTGATGATTCGCCTAATAAATCAAACACACATCTACAACTGCCGAGTCCTATAATTACGCGGCGGAACCGAACAGCGTCGACGTAAGTTTCTGTGTCACTAGTTCACTACGTATTTTTCTAAATTGTGAATTAATGTAAAAAGAAAAAGACTCAATACTTTTTGTGTTACTTTAGGTCTGAAAGGGCTCTAGGAAATCCTATAGAAAGTGGGAAAATCAAGTCTTTTTGCCGAGCAAAAGGACATGGATTTGTTACCCCTGAAAGAGGTGGCGAAGATATATTTGTCCACATCTCTGAGTAAGTATCTTGTTTCTTTAAATAAGAACTAATTTTACTAATTTATTTCTTAGTAGATTTGGTTTAAACATTTTGATCTTCAATTTATCTTTTTCTCCAATTTGTCTTCCAATTAGAATCTGTATGATTAATTAACATACCTAACTGATATTTTAAAATGTTAAAAAAACTGTAATTGTAATCAGTAACCATAATAAATGTTCCTTTTTTATCCTACATGACATAAACAACTTAATGGTCTCTCAAAACCAGACATTGTTTATGAACATGATGAATGAAGACAATAGAAAAAAAAATTGGCTCTTGAAACATAAACAACATACATCATGCAGAAGTATTGAACATAATTAATATTACTCACACATTTTTGTAGCTACCAACCAGTATTGTAGCTGATAACAGATAAATTATTGTTTTATACATTTAGGCAGTTTGTTTTAGCACATTTAGAGGTCAAATGTAGGTGTTCTTTGTTTGTCTTTGTTGTTGATATGAGTTACATTAGAAAAAAAAGAAGTTGTTTTTTTACCAAGGTGTAGTTAAACTAGTCTAACAATAATGACTGCTTGGTTTTTTCTTGTTTCACCAGCACTTTTTTTATGTTTGTTCATCATTTCAAGATTAGATTAACAAACAATTTTACTGCTAACATAATGATGTAATACTTTGTTGTCTTAAACAATAGCAGTTTAAGATTTGACTTTGGTATTGAAAAGTTGATGTGTTATTCAATAATTTTTGTTTTGCAGTATTGAAGGTGAATATGTACCATTGCCAGGCGATGAAGTAATATACCGACTCTGTCCAATTCCCCCCAAGTTTGAGAAGAACCAAGCTGTCCATGTCCGTATCGTCCACCTCACACCTGAGAAGCATGTCAAGTGGGATGAGCCCCCACTGTAAACTGATCCCTCCGCTACTCTTACCTCAAACTCTTGAATATCATTTGCAAGGTCCTCTTGCTCCCTAAATCTCTCTGTAGTGTCATATCTTACCTGTCGTCTCTCGCCATATTAATATGTGTTATGCATGTTGTATTTTTACTTTCTAGAATTGTATTACTATTACTCTATGTACACTATATTTATATATATGTATAAGTATTGTGTCCTGTTAAGTGAATATCAGCAGAATCGATTGCAACTTTGTCAATTCTACATGTCTATATCACAATCAATCTATTGAACTCAATCAAAATCAACTATTCTACTCAAAAACTGCTCATTTATTTTTAAACATTGCCATGAAATGACCAAGGTTGTAGCGTTCGCGTTTGTATAATAATTGCAAAACGAATTCAGTATTTAAATATAGTGAGAAGCCAACATGTGGTGCTAAATTTTCGAAGGTTTTACCATCGTCTTAAGATTTTGATAACAGATGTATTTCACACAGTGAATGGATAATGGCTTCTTGCACCAAAATGTAGTTTAACAGTTGTATGATAGAAGTTATGATTGGATCATTGACATTATTGGCCTAATTTTTAATATTTCATGTATTTTTCTGTACTTAAGCATCATTGTATTGAGTATATGTAATTAATGATAGCATGTAATATTGCACAAATACGAAGTGCCACTGGTTAGTGATGTGTGCGATCTATGTGTAGGATTGTTTTGTTTACCACATTGTTGGATTATGCATAATCTCATTTTGACTCCCTTTCTTTTAATATTACTTTATTTGTATGTTATTGTATTAAGTGCAAAAAATGTTGCAAGTTATAAACTACCATTCCATGAAACTAAAGTATTCTCCTTGTGTTGGGTAAATCTGTTCAATTATTGTGTTGTATAATTAAATATTCTATTTTATATCTGTGTTGTCCCAAGCCTGTTGCAGGAAGTATTTTATTAAACTGTAATCGACGTGTTTGCCATGCTTTTTGTGTTTAGTTTCTAGCAGTATTAGATAATATACAGCGAATATATGGAATTATGTGGAAGCAGTTACTTTGTTTTATTGTACTCTCATATCATATTTACCAGGATAAAGTGATACCGTACAAAGGTGGCGCTATTGATAAGCACATAATCTGATAACACTTTCATTTCGATTTTTGTTCTATCGTATAGTAGTAATAAAAACATACTAATCATATTTTATGACGAGCAAAAATTCCAAAGACTTTCATCATCTCATAAATATCGATTCTTCCATGTTTATTAGTTTCCAACGGAGCAGTGGAATGGATCCAAGATAAACGTCGACATTAAATAAACTGCGATCTTAATTAATATAACCTTGTCCTCGTTGGTGACAGTGTCATGTGGCTTGGGCCTGAATCACACGTTCCACAAGAAAAAGTTCGAAAATTCCCATTTTGTCATTGAAATGCATCTCTATACAGATAGAAGATACGATGCAATAAGACTTTCTATTGTATTATCTTATTTCTTATTTATCTACAAGCAATAGACATTCCATATTCTAACGCAGCCAAAAGATCACATTACACTACTATACACTTATTGTAATTTGACCCATACGACATTTTGTCGCGAGTATACACAGGCCCTTATCCTCAGTAGGGGATAATTTATTTATGCCTTTCATTGACTTAGCTGAATATAGACTTTGACCTTCTTACTTGAACATAACTTGGAACAGGTTGAGAAATAAAACGAATCAGCTATTTGTGTCACGTGTATATTTTATTAGTAAATGTAAAACGTAAGGAATAAATAATACAAACGAGCCGTGCAGGCGATTCTGAACGTAGATATCCATAATCCATTCAATAGTACATTTATATGAAATTACACTTATAATAAGAGCTAATATTAGTGTTATATTCTAGGGGCTTCATTATTGGGATCACACGCTTACGTAGGTACTTAGTCTATTGAAATAGTATCGGCTATCGGTGTGGATGACACGCTTGGCTACTCGTAAACAATGAGCGTCTCATAACACACGATTGTAAATTAACAATTAAATTAGTAATAATAAAACATCTATACATAAAGGTACATAGACAATTCACTTTTTACGCCATCTATAGATAAGTTCCAGTTAATGCACTTGTATCAAACAAATGTGAACTTTATTACTGGTAGATAGAGCTTATCCAGTGATCCTAGTCTTGTTGCTTAAAGCTTAAAGTCTCGGGATTATGCAGACTCAACCATCGTGGGGATCAGGGCCTTAGTACGAGTTAGTTTTACGTAGTATTCGAAACGAGACCGTGTCCGGCGCTCTGATTGGTTGGTTCATTGGAGCCGGCCAATCAGAACGCCGAGCTCGTGTACTAAGGCCTCAGTACAGTTTAAAGGCTTGTCGAGCCTAACGCGCGCCTCAGTCCTTCTCTAAACATACTAAGGTATTACATACTACAACCTATCAATTCTATGAACATTAGTATCGAATACAGTTAATTGTTATCAATCATGTATATCCTCTTGGCGATGGAGCGACGGTTCAAAGGTTAATCGACCGTAAAACTATGACTTTAAGATTGATTTTTGAGCAATAAAATGCGTTCGAAGTATTCCTTCTTCTCACTTACTTACTGATATTACGAACAATTCAATTTATTTGCCTTTGTGACTCGGTTACATTTAGCGCGAATGTGCACAATTGGGAAGAAAGGTATTTACTAAATTCATTTAAATATTTTATGACTTTGGCCAAAAAGGGAAAATGATATCACGGAAATGTTTTTGGTACATTTTCATCGATTTACTTCTAAGAAGGAAACTATACCTATCCTTCTTTGAATTCTAAATAAAAAAATACGTATGCATAGACATTATATCGTGGACATTTAATATTAGTTATTATGTAGTTGGCTAATAAGCGCCTAGTAGTGAATTATTGATTAAAATGCTATTAGTTAAATTGTATAATTATTATTATTACTGATTGTCGTCCGCCTGGAAGACGTTGTATCGTCACTAAATTGACTACACTGACCAATCGGCAAGCATGATGTAAAAAATTCGTTGTATAATATAATGTATATAAAAATGCAAGTACAAAATGTCTTCAAAAATAATTAACGGGAACCTGAACGTTTAATAAAACTTGCAGTAACCGTGGTTGGTCGTTTTCACTCGTAACCTTTAGGAAACCATCAATCCTTGCCGTTTTCCACGTTTCCGTTCTGTAAAAGAAATATATTGTTAATAAAGGACTGCCTCGTTGGCCGAGTGGTCGCAAGTGCGACTGCCGGGGAAGGGGTCTCGGGTTCGATTCCCGGGTCGGCCAATGTATTACTGGATTTTTAAAAAAATCTCAGTAGTAGCACGGAGTCTGGAATTGTGCCCGGTATATAACAATAGGCTCACCCCCTATGACATGGGACTCATAACATAAATAGTGGAAAGTGGGTGTTACATTGTGCATAATGTGCACCTCTGCCTACCCCTTCGGGGATAAAAGGCGTGATGTTATGTTATGTAGGTCAAAGGAAACTAGAACACACAATATATACTTAGGTATATATCAATTACCAATATAACAGCAAAAATAATGACTTCCTGTAAGTTCTATCAGTAACAACGTATCTGCTTATTTACTTTATGCAGGCATTGAATGATATTCGATATCATTTGTTTAGGTACAAACGAACAATTGGAATGTAGGTTTAAAACGCAGTATTGCAATCTCAAGTTGCAAGAAATGAGATAACGTTGTCGTACAGGAAAAATATGATCATTTTAATGATAAATGATCTGTTTGTAGGTACCTTACATTATATTAGATTTAGCGCCGGATTCACCATCTCTATATAAGTACTTAATAAACTTTTGTCTCAGATAGTTCGTACAAATTACGTTGTTAATTCAAATCTATCTGGTAGATAACGGCTATCCTGATATTGTAAAACAGGCCCTTAATATTTACTCTACGTGATTTGTTTAGTTAGAAGTTAGGCAAAATGGTATTTGATAGGTTACATTTTGTTAAAAGGTATGATGGGGTGGTATATGGCATATCAAAGATAAAAACCCCTTAATAAAAAACAGATTAAGAAAAAAAAAAGTTAGGCAAAATGTATAGAGCTTGTGATGTTGCTTTTATTACACTCATTTGATGTTTAAATATGTAGTGTTCTGCAGAATATCTTCGACGAAGTTAGCATATTATATTCCATATCGATGTATGTGCAATGAAGACATTCTACTTTCCTATACTCTCAATATGTCCGAACCATACATTGATAATGACAAACAAAACAATATAGATCGTACATCAATCTTAATGACATTACGAATCCAACTTAATAAACAGGAAATAAGATTCATAATATTGTAATTACTTAACATACTGACCTCTTCTAGTTACACCTAACTAATACAACAATGAAGGTCTTAAATAAATCTTAACGACAATGAAAAATGTAATTTAATAATAGACGATAAGATTCAAAATACCCTAATTATTTAACATACTAACCTCTTCTAGTTGCGCTAGTTGGTAGTGCCTCTTACGTAATGCCGCAAGTCGTGCTCGTTCCGCATCAAGTGCCGTCTCTAGCTTCAATGAGCGCACCTTACTCTCCATCTCCAGGCGACGGGTCGCCGTCAGGGATAAGGAAGATGTGTCTAATGCCTCTGTTTGAGAAAAAAAACGTGAATAAATTTGAGATGATACTTAAATGTTAAGGTGAACATAACTTGTTTTAGGTAGGTAGGAACTTATCATGGGAAATTTGAGGGAAGTGTCAAAACAATATGAACAACAACATCAACAGGTGATGGTAAAACTAAAAGATTAGTTTTATTTTCATAAAAGGAAGTAATTCAATGTTTCTTTTATGTATGAATGACACGAAAACAACGATTGAAATTGTAAAAACCATTTCTCGCGTTTCGGGAGTGTTCCCTTTACACCCTGTATATTTTATACTACTGTACAGTTGTCGACTAATATTGGAATCGAAAAATTATTCCAAAATTTTTTTTTTTATTTTCTTACCTTTCCTTTTGGTAAGGAGAGAAGACGTAACAAGCATCACATCGAAAAAATAATCATTTTATAGCTTTTACAGATATGTTGATTTGTGTAACATGAGTGAACAAAACCTATAACAGTCCATAGTGATGAATGAAGAAACGATCAGCGTACCTTGTTCGAGTACGAGCGCCGAGCCCGACTTGACGGCGGCGACGAGCGCGCCGGTGGCGGCGGCGACGGCCCGGCTGGCGGCGGTGAGGCGCGCGAGCGCGGGCGAGGCGGGCGCGGCGCGCGCGCGGGACGCCGCCACCAGCTGCGCCGTGCTGCCCGCCACCTCGTGCGCCGCCGCCGACACGCCCTCCACCTGCCCCGACGCGCCCACCGCCTCGTCCGCCGACGTCCTGCCGTCATACACGCACATTATATCTCCAAACAATTGCCTACACACGAAATTCTTTGCTACGATACATTTGGTCACTAACACTAGGTAGTTTTCTTAGTCTTTATTTATTTGCAGGACATGTCAGTCCTATTGATACAAATCAGGAATCCCTTAAACTAGTTAACAATAGATGTTTTTCTATTTACGATAGAAGTCAAAGGTATATCGTTAACAGAATAACATTACAGATAGAACTTTTTGAGATTGACTGTAAGTCATGTTGCTTTAATATTCAGTCCTAACTATACGTAACTTAAATAATTTTAATGTTGAGATGAGACATGCCATACAATCATAATTAACAACAGAACAAGTCAATTTTAAAAACTAATACTTTCCATATTCTATCACTGAGAGACGATTTCTAATTACAAGAATAAAATTGCCATCAGCAACTTACCATTTATCAACGTAACTTGATTCTAAAGTCAAATAGAAATCTACAAACTCACGGAAAACTTGCAAATATTTCTAGCTATTATTATTGTTGCATTTTCTGTTTATTTTCTGCATAAATATAGTGTGACTTAGCTGACAGATATATAGTCAGAACTACCTAATAAAAACTAATAATAAGAAGTTACTATCAAACCATCAAGAAGAGTAAGAAGAAGATTGAATAAATAAACTCATGAACACCATTGTGATTTCAAGCGGTTACTACAGACACGAGAAGTGTATTTTATATCAAAATACACATATCGCAACTGATCTTACCAGTTCTCCTTAATTGAATAAGATTGGAAACTATGGTAAGAAAACCCTACAAAAAATAGAGTTCACATCGTCCACAAATAAATAACCTTTAGAAAATCTGAAACATCCGTCATATAGGATTATAAAACACGACCAACAAAACAAGTACGGTAGCATATAAGTGAAGATACATAGATACATACACTAGCAGTTTAGCAGCGAATACAACAGCTTTAGCCGCTGAGATCAACCCTTCAGACCACTGAGGGTTCTTTCGGTACATTTTCTGCCTAGTCTTGGGGTCTCCTAGTTCATTCTGAAGGTGGCGAGCATCCTGTACAAGTATCTTCACGGCTCCCATTAAAGTGGTGCACGCGTCGAGGATCTTGCCGTTGACTTCGAGTTTGACTCCTGAAGTGCCGGCGCGAGTTGCTGCTAACATGTTCTGTGGATTGTGAAAGGATGTTAGAGATATTTATTCTTCTGCATAAAGAATACTAAACATACAAAATTACAAAGACGGTCTTAATGCCGTCTTAAATAAAGAGGGGGAGGGGTTGATGAATACTATAGAGGCTAAAAAAGGTATCTTGAGTATTTTTTATTTTGTTGAGTATATAATACTCTCCATTTTACGTTTGATTGACATCACAAATTTCTCGAAGAAATATTGGAAGAAGAAATTCAAAAGTTATTCAATAAACACCATAGACACACATGGGAAATAAAAAACGACTCTTTAGACGATAGATACTGATAAAAAGGCCGTTTACCAACCTCAATCTGCGAGGCAGCCTCTTCAATAGCTCTGTCCATATCAGCCAGTTCATCATCGACGCTCCTGGCGCCACTGTTGAGTCTGTCGGCGGCGGCGGCTGACGTCATCAGGCTGCGCACGCGACTCCGCGCGTCGGAGCAATGCGAGCCCACTATACTACCTCCCTTTATAGATTCTAAACATTCCTTCGTCGCCATCAACATTGATCGGCATTCGTTGTTTAGTTCTAGAAGAAAAAATAAGTAATTCTATTACATGTTTGCTTAATACTTACCTTATTCATTAACAATAATTCCTCCAAGTCAAAGAACAATTACATAGGTACTTCGGATGTTGATAATTATAATTGCATACATTACTGTTAATGATATAGAAATTCAACGATTGAAAAGTTACAAAATCTACCTCTTTATTTCCAAGGAATTAAAATTCAATAATATTCAATTCAATATGAATTGAAGTTCCGATTCAAAGTGATAACTTTTATATCGTTTCTTGACCACATTGTACTTACTTTCGGCTAGAGCTATATCAGTGGACACGTTAGTGACATCGGCGACGTACGCAGACAACTGCGCCGTGTTATGCGCTGCGAACATCGCGGACTTCAGTACCGACTCCTCGTTACCGGACACCTAGTGAACATGAAGAAGTGAAATATATAAACCTGTTGTAACAGGCTACTACACCATTATTTTACATATATTTCTAAAAATAACTAGAACATTATCAATAAAAATCCACGAGTCTACTGCTGGAGTTTGAACCTCTTCAACTCGTAGAAATACTTTAAAAATATTTTTATTTCAACTCTAGTCACGTAGCAATTAACTGATTATTATGTGTCCAAAACAACAAAACAATCTAAGTCATAAGTTCTTTTAAAATATACATGGGACTTACTTCAGTGTGCCTGGCCAGTTCATCCAAGGCTTTAGCAGCGAGATCAGCGGCCGCCGTGACGGTGTCGCTCGCGTGTCCATTCTCGAACGACTCCAGCGCTCCATTGGCGACCTCGAGAGCTACCTCACCCGCGCACGTTACCAGCCGCGATGTCTCTGTACAACCAACAATATTATTATTATTAAGGTTCAATAACACGTTAGTGAATAAGGGATTAAAATAGCAATAATGTGAAGTTTTGGTCTCTGAAGACTTTATCATCTAAACAGCAAATATACTGACATATAGTCGGTAGAAAGGAAATAGTTACAAGCGAAAAGAAGCGTAACTATAAAAGTTATACAAAGATGTAATGTGTACTAACGGTTTTGCAACGCCTTCTGCGCCTCTTCCAGCTGTCTTTTCACAGCCGCTAAGTCAGCTTCAAGCACAGTATTGTGTTGCAACAAGTCCTGTAATTCACACTCGGCATTCAATCTCTTACTCTCCGCGTGGCCTAGCCTAGTCTCCAACAACTATACCACCATAGAAGAAGTAAGTTCCAAGGTTCCAAGCGAGTCCAAGAGCGCAGTCCGAAAGGAACCCATGCACAGCACGGCAGGTTGCGTAGATATAGAGGAAAGAAAACATGCACTTTAGATATCGTTACATGCTTATAGTACAGCCAAAGACAGCTAAAAACAGTGAACAATACAATACAGAATACGTGTTTCAAGAATACTAAATTACTAATAGAATAACAAAATCTATTTCAAAGGTAAAATTGTTTTTGCACAGTAGTAATGACCTCAACCACAAAGTGTTTCCCCAAAGCCTATTCGACACGTTGTTCCTAAGCCTACAACAAACACACTCGCAATGACCCGCCACCACATAAACTAGGTGTCCATAACACAACGCAGTGATGTCGACACACATTCCACTCAACGGCACTGTGGTCCTAACCTGTCTCTCGCGTTCTCTCTCAGACATTACATTATCCATATCTTCCTTCTCTTTCAACTTTTGCTGTTGTAATTCTTCAAACTCATCCTTCAGTTTTTGTATATTTGCCTCGGCCTCAGCTATAGTAGCGTCCTTCAGAGCAACTTGTTCATTGAAACTAGCTTCTTGGCTTTCTATTTTATCATTCAATGATTGGATCTCGTTCTCTTTATCGTCTTTGAATTGCTCAAACTCTGATTTCAAATTGCTTATTTCATTGCTCAATTCAGTCACTTGTGCTTCTTTCTCAGATTTCTCCTCTTCATACGTTTTGATCAAGTTATCATGAGCTACCGTCAGTTCCAATATTTTGCTTTCTAATACCTAATTAAAGACAATTGATTAAAACATAAATTAAGTTTCGGGACGACACATAAAACCACACATAAATACGTAACACAAACCTCTTTCTCCAAGTTCATATCATTTGATATTTTTTCTTTTTCTTGTTCTACTTCCGCTTTCTGCGCAGTGAGTTCGTTAATTTTATCGTGCAAGTCTCTTAACTCGAGATTTTTTATTGTTAAATTGTTTTCATTCATGTTAACGATATTTTCGTGTTCTTCTCTCAACGTCAAAAACTCATTTCTACCGATTTCTAATTCAGCTTGTGTTTCGTTTAACTCATCCTTGAGCCGAGTATTCTCGTCAGCTAACTGAGTGACTTCAACGTTGAGTGCTATAACCTGTCCATCTTTCTCAGCTACCATGCCCTTCAAGTTGCCAATGATTTCATCCTTGCTTTCAGTTACTGTTTGTAGTTTTTCTTTTAGAATTGTTATTTCACAATTGCAGTCTTTAAGTTGATTTTCGTATGCCGCCTTTTGTTCCTGTAATTGAACGTTAGTGTCTCTTATAGTTGTCTCGAGTTCAAGAATATTCTTAGATAAGTTTTCGGTTTCAGATAGTTGTCTTTGGCCAAACTCTGATTTCTCATCAAGCACGGCTTGTAGACGGTTTATTTCGGTGTTCTTTTCATCGATAGTCTTCTGGATTTCCTCTTTCAGTCCCGTTACTTCTTGATTCTTAGTTTCTTCCAAATCCTTTAACTTGGATTCAAGATTTGAAATTTCTGTCAATTGTTCTTGAAGACTTGATTGCAATTCTTCTTTTTCTTGTAATAGTTCTTTTACTTTTATACTTAGTTCGTTTCCATCTTTAGCCAGTTCTGCTTTTAGAGTTTCAGCTGAGACTTGGTACTGAACCAATTCATCAATTCTTTCTTGAAGTTTAGACATCTCAGTGGCATTGTCATTTATTTTACTTTCATAATCAGTTTTACTATTTTCTAACTCGATACGCAACTCTTCGAGTTGATCTAAACTTTTCTTAATTTTAGATTCTTTCTCACTAATACTGTTATCGAACTCAAGACTTTTAGTTGCCATCTCTAGTCTTAATTTCTCGCATTCATTATTTAATTCTCTTATTTCCTATTAAAATCAAATAACATGAATTGGTTGTTATTGCTAAGACCTTATCTTATTAGATTAGTTCTCTTAAGACTTTATTGAGACACGCGATTTTAACCCCTCGAGCGTCCTTATGAGCACCCGGTGGATCATAAGAAAAAATGCTCCATGTTTTTTTTTATAAAATCTATTATTAATGTTTTGTTTTTATTTTGACTGTATTTGTTTTATTTCTATTGTAATGATCCTTGTTTTCGTGTGCCAATGGCTAAATAAATGCATTTTCTTTCTTTCTCCAAATGTCACGTGTGTACCCGTTGGATCATAAGGAACGCGGACGCTCGACGGGTTAAACAGTAAAGTTTAAGGACTACCTAGCAGCTTCTTTTGGGTTAGTAGGCTCATCTACGTAACATGTTAAGACATGAATAGATCATGCAGACAGTACCTCACTAGCAAGCAACTACCTACGTATCTACACTCCTATACAGACTACATGCGTATGTACAATATATACAATACTGACCTCCTTCTCCTGCAAATGTTGTTGTTGCAACTCCGCTACCTGTTTCAATGCAGCCTCCTTTTCTTCAACTACCTTTTTATACTCCTCTCCACTGCTTTCCCGAAGTCCTACCAACTCTTCTTTCACTCTACTCAACTCTACTTCTCTCTCTTCCTTCTCTTGTTTGATTTTCTCTAAAGTCTCTGTAGTTTCCTTCAATTCGTTTGTGACTGTCGTTAGTTTTTCTTCTTGTTCTTTTGTTGCTGTGTTATGTTCTATTTCTAGAGCCTCCATGGAAGCTTTTAAAGTTTCTAATTCCAGTTCTTTTTGTCTGGATTGTTCGAGTTCAGTTCTGAGACTTAAAATCTCTGATTTGTAAGCTTCAATCTCTTCGCTTGACGACGCACTTTGTTGGAGTAATTCAACATCTCTGTGAGGAAAGAAATTAATACCAAATAATCAGTATAATGGAACCTTTAGTTTCTTTTTGCAGATTTTCCTACGCCTATAATAAAGTTGTTTAGCTGACTACTTAAGTATTGTATTTCTAAATAGTTTCCTCACTTGTTCCTATCATTAAGTTGTTGTTGTAACGCTAGCCTGGCACTCTCATGCTGCGCGGCGGCGGCTCGTAGACTGGCTGATAGTTTGTCCACCTCCGCTTTCTGCAAACGAAAAACAACATTATTATATTATTGTATAGGTTTTTGCTAGAATTTATATTGTTTTCTCCTAAATGGCATCTAAAAATATTATAAGTTACAATATTTTCGGGTCGCTTTATGAAAACATAACATAACATCACGCCTTTTATCCTCAAAGGGGTAGGCAGAGGTGCACATTATACCACTGTACAATGTAACACCCACTTTTCACTATTTATGTTATGAGTCCCATGTAATAGGGGGTGAGTTTTATGAAAACTGCGTTTTAATTCTAGTTTAATGTTAATGATAAACTATTATGAAAATGGACATATCATCATACATTTTAGACTATGTGCTACCGTTAATGCTTTTAGAAAAAAATGGTAGAAATTCTACTAGATTGACAACACTCACTGTGCAGGCAACTTATAAAAACAATAAAATACAAAATACTTCTGTACTAACCTGCCTTATCAAAGTAATGTGTTCTTCCCTAAGCTGTGTGTACGCCCCTTTTAACTTCTGGAACTTCTCATCTGTCACTTTGGCTTTCTCTTCGGTTTCCGTCAATTTTTCTACAATCGAAAATAACACACTATTAAATCTTTTATTCTATGAAGACATGGAGAGACACTGAGGCACCAAGGTGTGTGTAAAATCTACTTATCAAATCCACGGCCTCACAGAGAACTGAAGTGAAACAACACTTGCGTTGTGTTTCGTCGTGTGAATGAGATTACCGGAGGCCTAATTACCCCCCTCCCCAGTCCCCAAAATTCCTAATCAACAAAAGGCCGGCAACGCATTTGTAACACCTCTAGTGTTTCAACTGTTCCATGGGCGGCGCCGATTGCTTACCATTAGGTGATCCGTCTGCTCGTTTACAGGCTTATTCCATAAAAAGACAGAAATTGTTTGTAGAATTAAAACTCAATGAACATTTTCACTTTTTTGTCCCTATACTCGGAACTCAGTGCAATGGGTACTTACGTTTAATTTCTGGTGTTTGTACAGCTAATATTTCCGCTTTATGCTTCTCTTCTTCTAATTCTACCTGTAAATAACATTTCGTTATACATTTTAACAACGACTAATGTCGAAATATTCAAACGCCACTCTGTTACTAACACACCTAGTTCTGTCACTACAAATTCGTTGTAAAAAGACAGAGATGGCACGATATATAGGTAAATACAATTTAAAATTGAGTAGCCTTTCAGTATGCGGGGGTTAGTTTTCTAAGCACAGACACCAACGCAATAAGGTACTCCAATCGGTGGAGTATCCAGTCAGCAAGCTTACTTGTCTTTTGTTTAACGTAAAATTAGTTTAGTCAGTCAAAGTTGTGCCTTACAATTTTACAATAAAGTTAAAATTCTGTTACAGTTTCGTAACTGAGTATTTTGGTTTGCTGGTATACAAAACAAAGCAAAGTTATTTAGTTACCTTGGCATTATGCAATTGTGTTTCAATACGTGAACAGTGCTCCCTCATGGATCCTATCATTGTGTTCCTTTCCTGAACTAACTGTGAAACTTCTGACCTGTAAGAAAATTGGAATATCTTTAGTTTCGAATAAGTTTTATGTGTGATATTTTATTTTTATATTCTGAATAATTTTTATGTGTCAGAACATGCATCACAGCGTAAGCATAAAACCGAACATTATTTTTTACCGAAAAAATGAAACTCACTAATAAATTGACATAAATACCAAACATAAGCTTATATTTTTTATATTAAAACTTTCGTGAGACATACTAATCAATTATTATGTTTTCGACTTACTGACGACTGACAGGAACTCGACTAGTTTCAAACTATGCTAGAGGTTCATATTCATGAGTCGAGTTCCTCATCAAACAGTTACGTGAGTAAGTCGAAAACATAATATTTAATAAGCCTATGTTTTAGAGATGTATTAAATATACTATTTTATTTATATACGTACCTCATCCTTTTGAGTTCGTTTTGCAAGTGATCAATAAGTCGGTCGCGTTCTACGATAGGGTCCGGCTGTGGTGACGGCGAGGGACGGTCGAAGTCTTCTAGGTTATCCATAGTTGCCTGTTTATGTACAAAATCAAGTATTCAATTCAATAATATGAAAACGATGTATGGAAAGATTGTTTAAACCTTAGCAACATAATAAAGAGGTGGTTTGGATCAGAACTTTTTGAACATCTTGTTCTTCGCTACAATTTTTGTGAATATTATGGGTGTATTAGTGAATGTGTGTTTACAAATAATATTATAATAATTTCACATATACATAAAATCTAGACTGAGATTCCGAGTGACCCAAATAATTATTCTATGTGGGGGTCAAACCCGCATTACATTTCGTGACAGCCAGACACCAAGCCACTTCATTATCATTTTAAAAAAGTTGGCTATCAACTTTATATTCAATATGTATGTATTGCTGAAGTAATTACCTGGCTCATAGTATCCGAGGTGTCGATGAGAGAGCCGACGGAGTCCACCTCGTCTGGCGGCGGCTCCGGGATCGTAACTACTGGAGTCACGTATGTACCGAAGTCAGACTGCAAATAAAAACAACAAGTTAGACTTCAACTGGATGTTCCTTGACCTCGACAGGATTCCCTAATCTTATTATGCACCTGTGCGTTTCCTTGTTTGTAACTTGCCCACGTTCTCGTGGGATAAAAAGCAAGCTACGTACCTCCGGTGCTATGACGTCACTTATGTATTGCGGGGGCCGCACGCAACTGAACAATGAAACGTTGTTTCTCCCAGTGCCGTCCAGATTAGCGCCAAAACCGTAACGACAGTAAAGCCCTCACGAGGACAGTTTGTGTACTACACAAATGACAATACCGCACCAAGTAAGGAGGTGAATTTGGAGTATTCTTTCCTAATCAGTTTAGTTTTGACAAAAATTGCATAAGTGACGATATTGCACCGTAGGTGCGTATGTTTTTCATTGGCGACTTAAAACGTATAATTACAAATTATAAGTCCAGGTTGCCTCACGATGTATTCCTTCACCGTTTGTCAGTAGTATCTACTCGAGCGCCCGCTTCTCATGCATGAGAATGCATGCGGGCGTATTAAACCGCCGGGCCAACATGGCTTTCCCAGACTATAACCTACCAGTATTCCAAATTTCATCCCGATCCCTTCTGGCGTTTTGACATGAGTGACAAACATAGACATAAACACACAAACTTTCGCATTTATAATATTAGTAAAACAAGGCATAGAAATTGCCTAATATTTGTAGTTTGTACCTGCTGCAAGAAGTTAGGTGGGTTGGAAGGAAGGACCGGCAGTGTGAGGAGGTTCCTGTAGTACTGGAGACTGCTGGCGTGCTTGTAGAACGAACTCAACTTCTTAAACTGTTGCCGGAATCTACAAAGAATTCACATACCATTACATTTCCCTCTTCTATTCTCCATTTTTCAATAAGTATTTATATTCAATAGATCTTAGGAGAAAACAAGATACCAATTTAATTTAAGATATTCTCAAAAAGTAGAGTAATTTTTTATTGGGACAAGCCCGCCACAACCTCCCAAAATCACTGCAACTCCTGTAAGCCAGGATCTACAGTAGATACAACCATGGAAACACCGAAACACTGAAGTCCGGCGCGTCCCAGAGACATGAATAACTGTCTCGGAACCCGAAACGAAATAAATAAGAAGAAATTATAAGAGTAGTGGTAGTAAAGTAGAGTGCTCGTAAACGGTGTGCTAATATCACATGTACATTGTTATGAGTTAAAGAAGTATGCAAGTATAGAAATAGCGCTGTATAATTTTATATACTTCAATAAAACAAAAGCGCGTTACAGAAATATGAATGTAAGAACACAGTCATACAAATCCAAATATACTTTAACATGTTGAACGCCATGGGGGTCACCGGTGACCGGCGTTAGCGGAGGATTTGCCTTCAACAGTTTTTTATTGGCAGTCAAAGTCTTAAGAAACCCAACAAAACCGCACTTTAACTTAGTTATTTTGTAGTGGCGCTAGTGTCATTTTAAAGGTCCACAGTTCTTGCGATGTCCAGTAAGTATGTCTGCGAGAAATCGTGTTTAAAATCATTTTTTGCGGCGGCGCTAGTGTCGTTTTGAAGCACCCTCGAGTATTTTACCTCTCCCGATGTCCGGCGAGCGTGTCGGCCGGCAGCGAGGCGTGTAGACGGAACAGGAGGCGCACGTTGCAGTCGTAGAGCTGCGAGGCGTCCTGCGCGCACGGTATCAGCGCCGCCAGCCGGCACTGGCCGCTCGCCGTCATCGAGTTAGCGCGCGCGTTGCCCAGGCTGTCGAATACTGGAACATACATAACATTTTTTTTAACTTTTTTAACGAGGGCTTTTACAGATCACCTAACTGTAAGTAATCAGTGGTGCCCATGGACATCCGCAACACCAGAGTGTGTCAGACAGAGCCTTCAGGTATGGATATGAAGCATAGATTAAATACATTTGTTCCAATCTACCAACCTGCAGCTTGCAAATTCAAAATTTCATCCATATAGTCGAACAATTCCACGCAAAGCTGGAAGCTGTAACAAAAGATTTTCATATTAAAAACGGTACATTTATATTTGCACCATTGTACAAAATTATACAGACATACCTCAAACATCAGTTTCATTTTTTTCTTTAATGAACTAACCCCAACATTTGTCTATTCTCTTTTGAGTAAGAAAAAATTTACTGTTCAGGAATCCAGGAACTCTGTACTTTTGATCAAATACACAAATATTTAATCTGTAACTATTTAGTACCTATACTAAAGTTGGAAACTCACTAGTTATTGACATCATTCTCTGCAATGGCGTCTAACTCCTCAGCGGTGAGTTGCATGTTGCCGGGGAAGCGAGGGTTGCGCGCGTGGAACTTCAACTTGCAGACTAGCAGGTTGCAGTACAGGTGGACTAGTTTGCCGTAACCTTCGCGTAAGTGTACCTGGCGAATTGTACATATATACGTATTTGTATTGTAACTTTCGTAAGACATACTAAATAAATTATTATGTTTTCGGCTTACTCACGTAGTAATTCGACGAGGAACTCGACTAGTTTCAAGCCTTGCTAGAGGCTCATATTCATGAGCAGCATTTCGCGACCCGCGACGCGGCGACTGTCGCGCTGCTACTCGATATTATGAGCCTCTAGCATGGCTTGAAACTAGTCGAGTTCCTCGTCGAATTACTACGTGAGTAAGCTGAAAACATAATAATTTACATATATACGTGTTTATATTGACTTTTGAGAATAAATTGTCGTTCAGGTTGGAGGCCCGAAGGACAGGTTTTTGTACAGTTGTGTTCTGGCTGATGATTATATCGACTTTCAATTATAGGGAGCCAGCAAGGCATTTAGAGAGTGTATACAACATTTGCGTTATAAATAAAATTAAAGGGGGTCTATATACCAAGAACTTTCCCACCATAGAAATTATCTCTTTTATAAAGACTTGTTCCCTTGACTTGTACTACAGTACCTGAGCTACAGCTCTATCTACCCCATATCAAACATGTTTACAAAACGTGGCTTAAGTAGTAAACAGTAGTTCTGTAGAGACAATCAAAACTACCATTTCCTGTGAATCTGATATCAGAAACAGTATCATAAATTCACAATCACAATGGAGTCAACGGATTACGAAACGCTCTTCAATTGACAAAGTCTACATTTTCGCAAATCGTATTCCAAGAATTGCTTTGTCATTCCCTTTGAGGTTTCGCAATTCGGAAGGACAGAACCAGACAATTACATGCTTAATTCATTATTTATATATTTCAATGCCTCTAATTCTCAGTAATTAAAAAATAAAACCTATAGGAAATAATCAAATAATAGAACAATCTTATTTCTGCTTCCTATTCTTAACACAAACGAGGAACACAAACAATGCTTGTTTATTTATAGGTAAATCATAATAGGGACATACCCACAACTTCCCCAAGTTTTCGATCATGCCAATATGTCGTTGCGAGTCATCGAGGCAGGCGGGGTGACCCTCGCGCAGCAGTTTGTGTGTCACGTGACAAAACTTCCATGCCACGATGCGGTTCTCTTGTAGTGGAAGACGTATGGCGACCATCTGTGAACAAAACAGCGTAACAATTATTATCATAATAATATTAATTTCTATAATTAGTCTAAGAACGTGTGATATGATATTACCAGGCGTAGCGTCCTAATGCAAAATCACGCATCATTTCCCTAAAGCGGGTTATATTTTTTGTGCTGCGCCTGCTCTTAATTTTCCTATAATATCATAAACCCCGTGTAACAATAACCGGGCACAAACAGTCGTATAACAATAACATGAGGAAAAACCCGGCTACTGCGGAACGTAGATCTTCGGGTCTAGAGAATCGCAAGAAGAAGAAAAGGAAAACATATTTGAACGGTTGCATTATTTCCTAGTCTTCATTGACCACCAGCCTAATTACATACATCGTACATAAATCAAGACTCGTTCTATAAAAAGTTAAAAGGCGTGTTTCATTTATGTATATTGTAAATGCCATTATAAACAGCAGATCACACGACATCGAGTCACGACTCCCGATGTTATTCACGCAGTGAGGGGGAACACAGTGATCATTCAGGAAACAGTTAATGCGCCCAGATTATGTCAAGTAGTGAACTGTCGCATTCAGAGTAATTTATCGACGTAACATGGGCAGAGGGTACGTTGGACTTTATCATTTGTATTCATTTACGGCACGTACTCTGATTCTTAGTAACAAAGATAATTTATGAGGCTGTGTTTGGACAGTACAGTGATATTTACAACATAAATGTATCTAGAAAGGTGATAAATACGTCGAAAGAGATCGAACATTGGCCGAATACCAAAGATATTTAGTCCTATTCTATAGAGCCATCCAACTTATTTAGCCTTGACTTCGTAAATGCAATAAACAAATTCTGTACTAATAAATTAAACAAACTTGTTTGCTAACTTCGACTTCGTAACTTAGGACTTTATTACTTGCAATTTTGTCCACCTGGACAGACAGGTGCTTAAGGTAGATTTTGTTATATTTCTAAGGAGATTTTGACATGTTTTATTGGCCTTGTAAATGAGAGATTGAAACTAAACTTAAGAATTCGTACTTATAAACACAATAAATTCTTTAGTGTGCGAAACCAGAGACAGTCTACGTAAACAAAATATGTAATGTCTAGTGTGTTTAAAGAAGATAAGTTAGATTTGTATCAAATAGTTTCGATACACAAATCTATTTTCTACAAAATCCGTGTTGTAGGGCATGCAGGTACGTACAAACCGCTTACTATCATATGACCCATAATAAGTTGTATTGCTACTGACAGTATCTAGTATACTTCTCTTTATTTCATAGTTGTGCAAGTGTCTTACCCAGTAAGTGACGGCGCTTTGTTCCTTGAAGGTCCCAATGAGAGTGCTCCGAACATGTTTCTCTTTGACCGGAGTCTCGTTGGCGTTGATAGCCTTCTGTATAGCTAATGTCTGGAAAAGTAATAAACGATTATTACAAACTTTAATATTTTCTATAATATGGGCTAGTATTTCAATGCACCCTTATTAATTTAAAGTATTATCTAGTCTTATAAAGCTGTAATGGTAAAAAAGCTAAGTTACGATTTCCAGTTATTATTAGTGAGATATTTAAGATAGGTTAATATGTAGGAGTCACCTTGCACAGTGGCATTAAGTACCATATGTGCATCACTTCCTACCCCTTCGGGGATAAAAGGCGTGATTTTGTGTTGTGTTATGTTATGTTATCTCTATACGATGTGACAAAGTAAGCCAGTTATAAACGATAATCTTTAATGTAAATGTAGACCAATCCAATCTAAGATTTCATATTTAAAAAACGATGTTATGCAAATAGAATGGTAATCTTACTTACATTATTTACAAATGAAGGGTATGTAGAGTTAAATGTCAATTCAGTTGATGAAATATATGGGACAAAGGTAAGTGTTAAATCCCTAAAGAAACGTGAACAGTTTAACAGTAAACAATAAAAATTCCTTACAAGCAGGCATTTAAAAGTTAATGGAGAAATGCAGTGCATTGTTCTAGAGGTCCATTGACCTGGTTTCGTTACGTGTTTAGAGTTAACCTAAATCAGGCATATCGGCCTTTGAACAAGTTTACAATACGTCAAGTACTAAATATTCCATTAAAGTATTCGAGTCCATAATGATCCATAATTCGGTCGAAAATGAATGAAAAATTGCAGATTCAGGTGGAATGTAAACGGATAAGACAAGTTGGTCACGCTAATATCTTCTAAACTTCCGATAACTAAGGAATGTAGCGACAAAATTATTGGTAAAATATTTGCAATGAATGGCAACAAACAACTGAATTTGTATGCAACGCCGATTAGGGCTTACGTCACCGGCACTACTAATGTCATACGACACTTCGAAGAATTCTCACAGCATTCTTATAATGTTCAATGGATTTGAAATTGTAATTAAAGCAATGTGAAGCGCGTGTCATAACAAAAACAACTGCAATAGACGCGTCACTGATTACATTGGAGTATCTAATTTGCTGGTATAATGTTGAATTAATCGATTTCCGTAATCGGTAGATGATTTGAAGTCTTTGTATGATCGAAATACTCGTTTGTTTTACTGACTCTTACAGATGAATCCGCATTAAAAAGGGCTTCAATTTTATTGTTTCCTTAATGACAAAAACCACGCCTCAGTCTGCTGGCTCAGAGGCCCTAGTCCTGGGTGACTGATGCCATCTATCTGCTAAGTAAGTAGCCTACCTTTATAATGAACATAACGGTAAAGTTAGAGTTCTGTTTATTCTAGAAATCTCTAAGAAACAAATGTCATTAAAGAAGAACAAAGATTCAACAAAAAATAACCTCCAGTGAACTTCATTCCTCAACCAAATTACATTTGAACACAAAAAACGATTGCCATAAGATTTATTTTAGTGTCTCTCTGCAATGGCTATATCACGGAATTATAATCTAGACTATTCCAGAAAGTTCCAGTCAGGCAGTTTTTAAATGGAACGCAGTGATATAAACTTAAATGTATTGCAAAGTTAAATGTCTACTTGGGCTAAGGAAATGGGAAATCTCAGGAGATTCAGTAATGGATCTATCTGATACAATATTATGGACGTGTTTTCCATCGATTGCCTATTTAAAATGTCTGACTCTCAAATATATCTATAAAAGATTAGGAACATATTCCATTAAGATAAATAAACCCTTTGCACTTGTAATAATTAGGTATTAGGTATTATATTTCTGGAACTGGATCGCGGTTGACAGTCTTTTGAACTGATCCAAGTGATCCAACACATCGATGATTGTCAGTGGTTAAGCAATTTTAATAAAGTACCTATCCAAAACAAACTTTAAATCGAAAACATCCTTCCTTGTGTAATTAAATTAAAATTTTAAATTAAACACTTGAAAAATCAATCCTTTATATAGCAGGACAAAGTTATATTTGCATTGCCAAGATTAAGTTTATCCTGTTCTTGCGTTTACCGTAGGCGTTAACAAGGCTGAGTCATTGAATCTTACTACAAAAAAGATAGATAACCTTTTTGGTGTAAATTGTGAATCATAATTATTACATTTTATCATCGAACAAATAATCGATATTTCAGATAAGTATTTGTATGACTACCTATATTGACTACGGGTGACATACAAACGTATTATGTTAAGCAGTCATCGGTGACACGTTTACTTATGAATTCTGGTTTCCTTACGGATAAAGTACTCGTGTAGGACATATCCTTATATCGTACACATAAGTAGCTATTTATTTATAACTCCTTGGTATAACTGCTGCATAATAATTATGTTTATATTCTCAAAGGACAAATATTGCCGTGTTTTTGTACGCCAATGATTGTGAATGTCAAAGATAGATAGAAATAGAATACTTTAAAAAATTAAATAAGCAATTACCTAAATCGACTAATACAACAAGCTAATTACTACCTAGTACCTGTAACCATGACTTTGGACCATTTGGAAACCATCTTACTAATTTTGAGTTTAGAAGTACCCACACCCAAAGGTTGGTTTAATAAGTATTGGACTCATTTCCTGAACTGATCACAAAAATACTCCCATTTCCTATCGTACTCCACCTTATAGTTTCACTGTACAGTGTACACCATATTAGAGCAAACCAATAGAGAAAGGAATACAAACAATCGTTGAAAAAAACGTGGTACATATTTACTACTTTACTAGTACGTACTTGGACGAACCCAATGTTTGTGGGTAAACAAGAAGCGGGTGTTCTACACGCTACTGAACACATGTTGCCATTCCGTTGACTCCGGTATTTTTAGCTAGAGTAACGCGTAAATATACTAACATACACACTTATAGTCGAGGGGGAAATAAGTATTTACACGACCTTAAATAGTAGGAAATAGTCGTAAAATATTTGGCCTTTGATATGCGTACAATACAATCAAACGAAAATAGAATTCCCAATAAATATATGCGAAATATCGTTATTATTTATTAGTGAGTCGCGCTAAATAGTCTTACGAAAAGGACTACTTTTAAACAGAACGACTGTGTTCTCACTACAGAACCACAGGGCATGTAATATCGAGTCCTATTAAATAATTTAAGATCAGAACCAACCGTTCCATTTTGTAATCCCCCAGAGGCTAAGCAAAGATTTAGTCTGCAATAATTAGAATCGTCAGAACGCTAGATGCGATAATAAATTAATTTAGAGCGATTTTAGTTGGACCGGTCAAATACATAGCTATGCCATCAATTATAGAGCTCAAGAAAAACCAGAATTCAAAGTAAGGTACCGCCTACCTTCATATCTATAATTATAATTGTAAACACGGATTCTCCTAATACATAGTTACCTACATTAGTAAAGACGTAATTTCTAGCATTTCTTTGAACTGATGAATCAAATTTCCTAAAAGCAAAATTCAAGCAGTTCTGAATTTTAAATCGTTAACAACATACAAAATTGAGAAAATTTATTCAAGGATAAACCCAAAAAGGACGACGGAATCCTAAATCATTAATTTATAGATCTTTCATAAGTGACAGTGATTGTCGTAACAATTCCCAATGATAAAGGGTTAATGAAATCATCAGCACATGTGTTTTATGAATCGGAACTCTTGGCTATTACTGGCGGAAGTGGCGGACATTCATTATCTACGAAAATAAACAATGAACTTAAGAGTAGAGCTCAATTCAACGCGGAAATCGATGGAAATACCAGCCAATCCGATCTGGAAAATCCGTGAGGGATTTTTGGGCTGTTTCTATGTTCGATGACGGAGAACATAATATTTTGGATTTGTGTTCCATAATTTTCTCGCCTCTCTCAAAAATCACAACAAGTTAATGCAAACAGTGGAATTATTGGAAACAGGATGTACCGCATTAGGGAGTTTGAGGTGTTTTACATTCATTTCTAAATGTCTGAACTTAAAATATTCATAACATTTTTATTTTATTTTTTCGTTTTTTAAAACCGATACACTAGGATTTTCTCCTGTGTCGTGGGTGTGTTTACAAACATACGAGTTCACATACACATCACACCTAGACCAGGAACAACAATTTGTGGATCACACGTTCCAATTGCTCAGCCAGCGCACTAACCGTGTTGTCAAACAACATTATCCTCGTTTGTAGGTATAAGTAGTTTATCAGTTTTGGGAAATGATGTTGTCATTATTACTTGGTTACCTATTCCGGCTCTTATCTTTCATAGAGAAGTTGTACCTATTTTCCTCATTTTACTGAAGATCACAATCTTTTTACACTACTCGCTTCATGTACTTCAAATGAAGATAACGTTATGAATATTTTAAGTTTAGACATTTAGAAATCAGTATTTTTAGTTCGGAAAAGAAATTGAGAGACCGAGTTTTACACTTTATGCAAATGATCTACTAATATAGCCTAGCTGATTAAAATTTCTTAAATATGAATAAAAGTTAATAATATCACAAGAGAAAACACTGATTGGAGGTCGGTAACAAACACTTCGTGCCATGAGCCAATAATGCGAAGCCTTCGTTTTTCTCCTTTTGCAAAGTGAGACGTGACTCGAGACTTGCTTCTGAATACTCTAAGGAACCTTTTGTATGGGTTTTAATTAAATGAGTTTTTTTATCGCACGAGCCGTTTTTGTGGAACCGTGTGGAACAATGATAGAAATAATCGATGATGCGTGATAGCAGGTGCATTGTTATATGGCAACTATACAGAAACGTGGGACTTTGCTTTGTGTACTAAACATTGACAAATATCGCATTTAGATAGTAAGTATTTCATTCATGTACCGTCAGCCATTAATACAATGTATTTCACATGTTACTACAGAAAAATATTTGGAACTCTTTCTAATTTATGTAAAAAAAAAGTATCCTCAGGGTACTGTCGTTGGACAAAAACCTTACCATTCCTGTTTTTATTTGTGTCAGCAGAATCATTTTAGTATGCAAGA